TTAGTGAGCTCCAAGAATCTACCTGTTTCTGTCTCCTAGGCTCTGAGTTCACAAATGTATGTCATCAGCTCTGCTTTCTATGTGTGTGATGATGATCAAATCCAGGTCTTCATACTAGCAAAAATTTTACTAGAGATAGCTGCAAATGGCAGATGTTTCTACACAGGGAAGCGTCTCTGCTCCAGCATACATGTACAGGCATGCGTAAGACAGAGGTGAGACTTTTCCCATCCAGCTCTTCAGAAGTCAGAGACAGATCTGACACCCAAGAAGGAGATACACAGGAGAGCCATTCCTATCCTTACACTCCTAGACGCAGAAAATGATTTATAGAGCCTCTATTCCAGCAATAAAGAGTAAAAGAGGAAAGTGCATGGACTATAAATTAGCATCTTAGAAGGATTCGGTCCAGTGGAGGAAAAGCTCCCACAACAACAACAACAACACATTCTCGACTTGAACACTGCCAGCTATTTTTACCACAGTCTGGTTCACAGAGGGTTTGTCATTCAACTGAGTTTTGAATTGCCCTGAACATATTTCAGAATCAAATACTAAGAAAGTCTTACAGCGTTTGGAAAATAACCACAGGAGAAGAAACTTCCAGTTTCGACTAGATGACAGATCCAGACACACTGCTTCTCTGTACTGAGCACAACTCGCATCCTGAATATAATGTAAGGGTCAAAGGAGGCTGGGAAGGGAAAGGACAGCGGACAATGCAAGGACACCAGGCTCAAGGAGCAACACAAAGGGACAACGTTGGAAACTCTTTGTCCCAACAATAGAAAGGACGTCGGGTCTAGAACTGCTGGTGGGCAAGCCAGGAACAAGACTCATGGCCAGACTTAATCTCCCCATGGATGGATGGCAACGGTGAGAAATAAACTGGTAAGTCTGTGTCTGGCAAAGCTATCACTTGCAAATGAAGTGGAAAGAGACATTCTTAAACAAGAGGGAATTAAGAGAATCTTCCACTGGGAGACCTACCTTTAAAGAAAGCCCAGGGACATTCTTGAAACAAAAGTCTAAAAGGAGCACTGAGCATCAAAAAGAAAAGACAGTACAGAGAGCTGATGGGCAGGGAAACGCAGCGCCTCCTCATGGGTCTAATGTTGGTTAAAACTGTGGAGTTGGAACTCCAAATAATGACACGGAGACTTACTAATTATAAATGCTTGACCTTAGCTTAGGCTTGTCCCATGAACTCTTTTAACTAAATTTAACCTGTTTCTATTCATCCACATTTTGCCTTAACGCTTTTTAGAATCTTTCATCCCACATGTCCTGTTTTCCTGCTTCCTCCAAGTCTGGCTCGCTGGACCCTGGCCTTTTCTTCTTTCCCACCATCTCCCTCTGTCTCTCTCAAACCTAGATTCCTCCTACTTATTCTCTCAGCCCAGAAGTCTCACCTATACCTCCTGCCTAGCTATTGGCTGCTGAGCTTTTTTTCTTACGACAGGCAAAGTAAACAAATGCAACACATCTTTACATAGTTAAACAAATATTCCATTCCACAACAAAATGTAACAGTATCATATATTCAAAGCAATGTTATTTAATAAGTGTAAACATAAAGACCTACATGGAAGAGTAAGTGAACTGCTTCATATATAATGTGGGGGTCCCCCTCTACATGCTGTGAATATGTTCTATTACCATTGGTTAACAAAGAAGCTGCTTTGCCCTATGGCAGGGCAGAATATAGAAAGGCAGAAATTCCAAGCAAAAATAGAAGAGGAAAGAAGGTGGAGTCAGAGAGATGCCATGTAACTGCCAAAGGAGAAAGACACCAGACCCTTACTTGTAAGCCATAGCCTCATGGCAATACACAGATGAATAGAAATAGGTTAATTTAAGAAGCATGCCTGAGCCATTGGCCAAACAGTGCTGTAATTAATATAGTTTTGTGTGATTATTTGGGTCTGAGTGGGTAGGAAACAAAAGGGCAGTCTAGAAAATAAAGGGACAGTCTCCATTTACAAAACATAAAACCCTGCACACCAAATTTTGGAGTAGCTTCAGTTACAAGAGCCAAAACAATAACCTCCACCAACCACTTCCAAACTAAAACACTTGAATAACTTGTATGCCCAATAAGCTAATATTTAAACCGTGGGCCTGGCACGTCATAGAGTACTAAGCAATTAAAACAAAGCACTGGGGAGACAGCTCAATGGGTACACAAGCTTAACAAGCATAAAGGACCTGAGACCTAGTTAGTATTCTCCAGCACCCACAGAAAAAGCTGCCACAGCAATATGCACCTACAATCCCATCTCTGGGGAACGTAAAGACAGGTGGATCCCAAGAGATCGATGGCCAGCCAGTCCAGTCAACTGGAGAGAGATCTTGCCTCAGAAAGTAAGAAAGACTGACAGAGGAAGATGCCTAACACCAACTTCTGGCAATCACACCTGCATACATATGCAAAAGCACATACACCTGCACACACTACTGCAGCATGAAAGGGGAATCTCGGCTCCCAAAGACCGGGGAAGAAAAGGAAGACTTAACAGCTATCTGTGGAAAATAGGGTAGGCAGACCCTTATGATGATGAAAATGGTTTGTACCTTGATTGTGGTGATAAATATGCAGAGCTACAGAGGGAAAATTTTCCTTAACCAAAGACACAAAGATGTACATAAAGATGAATGAATAGAGATAAGGGTTGGAGGGGTAGATTGGTAGTAGTGTGCCCAGGGTTTGATCCCAAACCCAAACAAAACATATATTTTAAAAAACAACATCCCTGCCCCTCAAAAAACAGCAACAAGCAAAACAGCACCAAATACATGGAAAATGATTATATATACAGTGGGGAAACTGAAATAAGATCAGTAGACCGCATCAATGCCAACTTCTTGATTGTAATACTTTTGATTTTTTGCTGTTGTTGTTTTTTGAGACAAGGTTTCTCTTTGTAGCCCTAGCTTTCCTGGAACTCACTCTATAGACCAGGCTGGGCTCAAACTCAGAGATCTGCCTGCCTCTGTCGTCCGAGTTCTAGGATTAAAGGCACCACCACCTGGCCCTTTTTTTGTTTGTTTGTTTGTTCAGTTTTTTTGATGAATTATGATACTTTTGGCAGGATATTTTGCAAAATGTTCCTCTCAGGGGAAATTAATGAAGGGCACATGGGAATACAGGATCTGGATCACCTTTCACAAATGTAGGTGAATGTATAATTATCCAGAAAAAAAGCTGAACAAACTAAAAATAAATACTGATAAGGTGCTAAGAAACCCTAAAAACCTTTATCTTCATTTCAAAATTTTTAAGTTATCTACAAAGCTACAAAAATCTTTTAAAATTACAACATCTTTTGCCCATATTTATCAGGATTCTTTAATATTTGGATACAATACAATCTTAAGTGGGAAGTCAGCAGTTCCAAGCTGTGAGCCCACACTGGTTTGCACAGATTTGTCAGAGATCTGGAGCAGGTCAAACATTATTTCTTAATACTGTAGGAGGATTACAGTGCAACCCACCCTGACTGCCCCCCCCCCCAATTCTTACCTTTTATTTCTAGCCTTCAAAATGACAAAAATTTTATTTTTGTTTAGGGACTATAATCACCACTTACATTTAAGTATATAATAAAAGAAAAATTTCTTGTGAAAAAAAAATAATTGGAAAAGAAAAATCTGAGCGCTAGAGAGATGGCTTGGAGGTTCAGAGCACTTGCTACTCTGACAGAGGATCCGGAGTTCAATTCCCAATACCACCCTGGGCGATGCACAACCTGTAACTCTGGCTATAAAGACCATATTCTCTCTTCTAGTTTCTGTATGCAAAGCAGTGTGTATTCATACAAAATAAACAAGTCTTTCAAAAGAAAAATTTGAACTAGCTCACAGGACATGGAGCTCTTAGAAAGAACACCATAAAGGATGATGGGTATTCCCAGCCCCTAATCAGCAATCAGCCCCTCGAGGCTTAACAGTAATTATGTTTCACAATTACGTAATGTGCCATCATGGAGGTTTACCAGAAACTTTTTAGAGTTCTTACAACAAAATTTCAAATTAAGCATTTCATGTCAAGACCACTTTAAATATTAACAGTGTTTAGCCAAAGCAATGTCTGGCTCTAGGTGCTGGTGACTACTGAAAAATGGTTCGCTAAGTCATCTAATGTTTGTTTTTAAGGGCCCTGTGTTATTATTAAGCTATATATTTTTCTCTGCTCCTCTCCCTTCTTTTCCCTTCTCCTTCACCCTCTCCTATGATCCCTATGTTCCCAATTTACTCAGGAGACCTAGTCTTTTTCTACCTTTGGGGAAGTTTTTCTGAGTATGTGTTGCTTTTATTGGTTAATAAAGAAGCTGTTTTTGCCCAATGGCTTAACAGAGTATAGCCAGGCTGGAAGAGAAAGAAATAGAGAGTAGGCAGAGTCAGGGGGAAGCCATGTAGCCACCAGAGACAGCCGTGATGGAACCTTGCTGGTAAGCCACAGCCATGTGGTGATACACAGATTAATGGAGATGGGTTAGTTTAGGATGTAAGAGCTAGCCAGTCCAATAAGAAACTAGAGCTATAGGCCAAGGAGTGATTTAATTAATACAGAAGTGTGGTTATTTTGGTTCTGGGCAGCCAGGAACAAACAAATGGCCTCTCTTTACATACTTCCCATGTAGATTAGATCCATGTATGCCTCTCTTAGGTTCTCTGGGATTGTAAATTGTAGGCTAGTTTTTCTTTATGTCCAAAAGCCACATATGAGTGAATACAATTATATTTGTCTTTCTGGGTCTGGGTTACCTCAGTCAATATGATTTTTCTAGATCCATTCATTTGCCTGCAAATTTCAAGATGTCATTTTTCTGCTGTGTAGTACTCCATTGTGTAAATGTACCACACTTTCCTTATCCATTAAAAAAGAGAAATATATACATAATTTATGAGTGATTAGAATTTATATTCTTTATTTAGAACTGTTAAGTGCTGAAGAGACTTAAAATTTACTTCCTTGAATTATTTATATCTGAAAATAGATACTTTTATGGAAGGCCAGCTGGCCTGGATCTGAAAAAGCCTGGGTCAAAACTGGACTCGCTGAACATAGCGGACAAGGAGGACTACTGAGAACTCAAGAACAATGGCAATGGGTTTTTGATCCTAATGCACGTACTGGCTTTGTGGGAGCCTAGGCAGTTTGGATGCTCACCTTACTAGACCTGGATGGAGGTGGGTGGTCCTTGGACTTCCCACAGGGCAGGGAACCCTGATTGCTCTTTGGCTGATGAGGGAGGGGGAGTTGATTGGGGTAGGGGGAGGGAATTGGGAGGTGGTGGCAGGGAGGAGGCAGAAATCTTTAATAAATAAATAAATTAAAAAATTATATTCTTTCTGAGGGATAATACTTTAAAAAATCTTCATCTTTATATTTAGGATATATAGATATTGATACATTTTAACACTGCTGAAAGTTATTTTTAATGTGTGTGGAACAAGTATCTTGCAATTTTTAGTTCATATAAAACAAAATAAAAATATAACCTTTGATAGAAATTAAGAAAAAAAAAGGCCTGTGTTAGCCCATTTCATCTTTTCTTCTCTTTCACGCCTCCTAAAGTAAACGACTCATTCCTCAGGGCTGCATCAAGGGCATGTATAGAGACACAGAAAGAGCAATGACCACTACCCACCAATACTAGCAACCACGGGACATCAGTGGTGTGGAAAATGGAATGTGTCACCTGTCTGGGCTCTCTGTAACCCCTGTGCCAGACGCCTAAATTTCTCTAGGCCTCACCATTTCCTTAGTACTTAGGACACAATTTAGTACTAATTAAGTATGAAAAACAGCTCCTCTGTCCAGATTCAGAAACAGACAGCTAGGCTAATTCTGTCTTTTCCCCTCAGTTCAGGGATATACAAAAATTTCTATAAATTAGAAGCATCTTGCTAATAAAATGAATAGTATTCACCTGCCTATTTTGGAATGTGGGCACTGTTCTACTTTATTCTACATTAGCCTAAAATAATCTGATTAAAAACTAAAAGCAGTCTATTATTTGCTGTGTCACGGGTAGAACTAAAGAATATTAGGTGGACAGCCAAGCTCAAAAAGACAAATACTGCAAGTTCCTCATCATATATAAAGGCTAGAAATTTGATTTTTGAAAAGTGGAATGTAGAATAAAAGTCACATGATCGTAGGAAGAAAGGCCAGAGAAAGTCATAGCAAGTACCAGGATCTAATCATCTCACCAGGTCATTCATGATGAACAGGGAGAGACGCATACAAAGGTTCCTAACACAGATAAATGCCAGCATGCAGGAAACAGATGCTGACTGCCTGGATTATACACTGTACACACGAATTACTACACTATAGCTCATGAATATGCAGAATTATGTGCCAACTAAACCTAAAATATTTACTATTAAAAAACTAAAATATATAATCTTTCCCTTTAACTAGCTCCTTTGAAAATTTAAAAATGAAAATCTCTCTCTGCATATACACAGATATATATTAGACACACGATTATTTTTGGCTTATGTCTTAAATGGAGCCATACAATATTTGTGTAGTTATTCTTGTGTTCTTTGTTCTCATCCACGGTGGACATGAGCTGATTATTGGTATCTTAACAATAGGAGTCCATGGACCACAGTGAGGATTTTTTTTTTCATAATCTGAGAGACAGTCACTAACAAGCCTCAGCTGGAAATCTTAATGTAAAAACAGTGTGAACCTGTTCCTGGGCTAACAAACTCTTCTTTCTGCCAACAAAGGGAAATCAATTTACAACTGTAATTAATTTTTAACAGGCTCATTATTTTTGTACTTTTATAGGATGGTATATAGGTCAACTGATTTATGAAATACTCCATATTCTAGCTGTTCTGGAAAAGCTGTATGATCCACAACATATTAAATTATTTAAATAAACTTAACACGAAGTGTCAGTATGTGAGTTCCACACAACTCAGCAAATACCATAACTGTTGTGGTGGTTTGTGTCATAAATTAGTTGTTTGGCTTAGACTTTTACACACACACAGGGGGTGGGGGGAGGGGGTGGATGGAAGCAATAGGAAGAGATGGGCAAATAGCAAATACTATCAGGGCAGTTCAGTTTGAAACTGTCACTGCTGGCTTTGTTTCTTTGTTTTACCTCCAAAAGGAGAAGCATGCTCAGATAACAAAACAAAACAAAACAAAACAAAATATGTATTTTTATACAATAGAACTAAAAGAACTGGCTTGCATTTTTGGAAATGGTTGAGAATCTTTAGTGGCTAGAAGGATCCTAAGTCCAGAAAAGGAGAATAGGAAGTCATTCATTTAGGGACACTGGGTATGAAAAATTGTACACATTCAGGGAAGCTGGAGAAAAATACACACGAAATGGCAGCAGTTAGTGGGAGGTGAGTGTTCTTTTAATGATCTGAATGAACACAGGTATCTGATTCTAGAGAAGGGGCTAAGTGTGGACTTACTGAGATGTCCCAAAGTAAGGAGACAGACCATGAGGCATCAGCAGCGACAACACCACATGCAGCAAGACAAAGACAGGGAAGTTAGTGTGACTTCAGAAACAGTTTACAGTGACAAGGATGGAGGGGAAACAGAGTGGCAAATCCGGGGTTAGACTGAGCAGGGCCTTACAGGAAAGGCCATCCAATGGAGAGTTGGTTTGTTAGATAATGTAACTCATTACAAAGAAGAGAAAAAGAAGAAAAAAAGACCAAACTGGGGCCTTTATTAGAAAGAGCCTCTAGACAAAGAGCCCAGAGAGGAGCTGGTGCAGGGCCAAGATCTGATGAAGCCAATGACCCAAAACAATGGTAACTGTGGTAAAAAGAATAATGTATATTTAATATTTAGGAGAAAAAGAATATTGCATAGGGTCAATTAAATAGGATTAAAAAAAACCATCAAAAGTTATTTCTCCATTTGCTAAAGTAAAATCTAGAAACATCATATTAATTTTTTCCTAGCTGTGTGTCACGTTAACACACACACAACACACTTAGTAGGCAGACGGTAAAGAGATTACTAGTTTTACTTTAATTTTTTTAACGTGCAAATGTGGTTATTTTTATGACTAGTTTTAAGATTTAAGGCTGAAACTCCACAGAAAAGCTTTAGGGAATGATCCGATTTGTTATACCAGTATAAGGTATATTTGTGATATTCAGATCAATTCAAATTCAGCCATCACATTGGATGGAGAACTTGAGATGCAGGCATATAAGAAGATAAGGGTATAAATACATAGTCTGTACACCATCAATGTGCAAGCCGCATTTAACACCAGGGAATATTTAAGACAATTCTGGAGAAGTCCTCTTTCTTATTCTGAACAATAAGAACCTACCATTCTAAGAATTCAACTTACCATCAACATGCCAGCTGTCTGGAGGTGAGACACCTGACTTGGGCAGAACCTAGTTCTGGCCAGGGGAAAGGATGGTTTGCCGCAGTCCCGTGTCTATGAACTGAGCTTGTGTGGTCGACTACAGATGCCGGGTGCGGCCTCCAAAGAAAGAACGCCAATGAGCTGTATACTGAGCTGTCACGGGAGACTCCCTTAAGCAGCACCAATTCTTCAATCACACGTTTACAAGTACTTTAAAATGTAGTGCACATTTCCACAGTAGAGATTATCACCAGTAATTTTTCCCCTGACTAGTTCTAATGTAGATTTGCCTATACAGTCACTATAGCAATAGTGTGGAATCTCTTAAATATGCATTTACAAGAAAATACCCATACAAACTTTATGTTTTCGGCCAAAAATCTACCATGATCAAAAAAAAAATCTATCTTTGTTGCATACATCCCCCACCAGATAAAAATAATGGATACATATTTGGCATATTTACCAGAGGGAATACTATGTTTTGAACAAAGTGGTTATAAAATATCACTTACAAGAAACAAGGCACCAACGGTTAATTACACAAAAGTGGGGAGTATAATTTATGCGATGCTTTTCTTCCCTTAGGCAGCATGTTCCATGTCCCCCCTGAGCAATGGCTCTACTTTTCTAGGGATCAGTAAAAACACCCTGAGCAGACTGCCGCATCCACGAGGCTAAAGCGGTTATGCTGAAGGAACATAGAAGAGTGGGAAGTGCGGCTCTTTACAAATGAAGACGAGAAAAGCAGCCTTGTTCCTGCCCAGCAGAGTGCAGCTCCACCCTTCCAATGATGCTACCCCAGAGGAGGCAGAAGAGCCACCCTCTTTCAAACCGCATCCCTGCTGCTAAGCCTCTCCATTACCCTGTATGAAGTGGAATGCCACACAAATCTACTGGGGCTCGGGGTGGGGGGATATAGTAAGATTAGGAAATGTTAGCGTTTTAGATTTTTTGTGATTTACGTAAATTCACGTGAATAGCATCGAGCACTTGAGTGAGGTATTCCTGAGACGTGGAACACTGCACAAGTCGGGTGAAGTGGAGCACTGACAAAGAGAGGTTTACAGTCGTCTAGTACCAAACAGAATCACTTCCTAAAGACATCTGAAACATTGCCAATGAGGTCAAGAGTCTAAATTTTATTCTGAGCTATGTTAAACAGCAATGCAGCTTTGTAAGGGAGGCTATCAATTGCATAATAGACCATGAAAAGCATACTGTTTGTATTTCTATATTGTTTATAATTTATTACATATAATTTAAGAGCTCCAAGTATCAACAGAATTTGTTAGACATAATTAAATTTAAAAGAGAATTACCAAAATGTAGCTCCACCACAGTCCCCAGTCATGCCCCCAGCACTGAATTCAGGGCACGTCAGAGGACAAACCCAGCAGATCTTCACCTCCTGGAGACTCGTAAGTCTAAGTTACAAGTATCGAGGATTACTGAAGTCAGAGGAGAAGTACAGTTCCAAATTCACCTCAGTGTGTGAGCCCCACAGAGCACGCAGGTTCAGGGCCACACCCTTCAGCTCCACTGTGCTCTCAGATAAACACAACTGTCTCCACTAGAGCACATAAGGCTGTGGAAGCCACAGACACACTTATTTCCTCTTTATTGTTTATACAACACAGTGAAGTGTAGCTGACACAAATATCTATGAGACAGAATTTTAAACAAACAAAATTCAATTACAAGCAAAGTACTGACTTTGAAATCTAATTCAATTAAAATAAACTTTACATGCTTCAGGACTGAAAAATGTATTAAACAACTCCCACCTCTAAAAAACAGAAAGTGAAGTAAATACAATGGGTGTCTATCTGTCTTTGAAGGAAAATGTCAAAACTCTGGATTTAGTAAAACAACATGCTAGCTCCTCTAAGAGCGGAGTCCTCCCTCGCAGTTACGGTGAGCAGAGGAGGGAGCATCTGCTTCACATATGCTGCTGATAAAAAGGAAAACACCACTCTGCTTCCTGAGCTCCTACCTAGCTAATAAAACAAGTCAGATGAGAAGAAATGTTAAGGTTATTTACATACAATTAATCCAACAGGTGAGAGAAAAGATTATGCTTTTAATAAAAAAGCAAATAAATGCAAATATATCCTGTTACATAGGATAATGTCAATTAAAAACAGAGAAAGTAGAAACATCTATTTTAAGAAATAAAATTTGTATAGTAACTTATGCTCCAAAATGTTTTCATTAATATTTCACATAAGTAAATTAAATGTACAGGGGATTTTAAATATTTTTATTAAGTCCTGTATAACTAAATATGAAATCACCCAGAAATTGCATATGACTGAAAATACAACCGTTTCATAACGATTATGTTTGCTTCCTCACCTTTCAACAGTTTCTCGCTATTTATTCCTAGCAAATCTTTACAATGATGAAATAATTGTCATGTTAAACAATTACATGAAAGCATCATAATAAGTTCCTTTAATTTTTTTCTAAAATTATGTAAGCATGTACAATTCAATGTCTCTACTTCTTAAAAAATTTCCTCTTCAAAATCACCTTACAGCTTGGTACCAATGATTTCAGAAATAAACTAGCAATGCCGTCCTTTGTGGAAAAAACAAAGCAACATGGCTTAATATTTTAAAGTAACTGGGACACGTGAGAAACGCAAAGAACTGTACTTGAATCCTGCTTTAAAAAACAAAGTATTTGAAATTTTTCAAACAAGTTCATCATTTTTCCTCAAACAAGGGGCAGAAAATAAACACATTAAAGAATCATAATGTGGACTTAATATGCTTCTGGAAAATGATAAGCATATTTTATGTTTGAAGGTGGTTTCCAAAGGTCCCATCTCATCAATTCACAATGTGAAGGTGATACCTGTAGCCTTTACGTGTTTGCTGTGTTTGCACACACACACACACACACACACACACACACACACACACTCGTGTAGCAGAGAGAAGGAGAATATAAGAAATATCCCAGGGCAAGTGTGTCGGCCACAGCATTCACCCAGGGAAAGCCCACAGACCTTAGAGAAAACTTTAAAACAGACTCCTGACAAGGATTAAAGGTATATAAGGATAAAAATTAGGTGTGACTAATATCTAAAATGTTCTTAAAGTTCAGTCTAGCTAAACTATTCTAAGACGTTCAGGGGCTGCTACTACTGTCTGCTCATCTAGACACGAAAGCATCAGGGAGTGGACCCAGAATACCCAAGACAATAACTTATTCTCAGATCATCAATTATGAATTTTCCTCAGATCTCAAAAAATCTCCCTTAAGACATTATATTTATAGTTTCAATATAGAAATAATTTAAATGAAATAAAAATAATTTTTGTGATAACTTTAAATGTATATACCATAAATGATCAATTGTTATATGAACACTTTTATATATAAAGTGTTAAACCAAGCTACAAGATAGCATCTTACTATAAGACAAATCTTTAAGATAATAAACCGAAAAGTAGTATTGTTTCATATGGACAAGCAACCTCATTCCTTACCAATCATACTTTACATGAAAGGTATTCATGCATGAGCACACACAGCACATACTAAATTTCTTCAAGTCATTCTGCCTTCACTCAAACAAACCAAATGTGGAAAAAATTTAAATCTTTTTTTTTTTAAGTATCAGCAGCAATGCTAAGTTAAAGCCGGTTTCCTACTGCAACGTGAAGCTGCAATGCGGCAACACTGCCCTCTAGTGTTCACAGCGGTCCTAAGAATAAAAGGATTTTACTTGCCAAATAAAGACAGACCTCGGGCCAAGCTGTTCTAAGTGTATCAGTCCCAGTAACGCACACACAAAGACTGGTGTGCACTGGTTAGCGCTGCCAAAACCCAGAAAAGTTGATAAATCTTGTATCAGAGACCTCTAACTGTAACTGTTTGATTTTTCCTTAGATAGTAAAAATCTTGAGAAGTCTATTTCTAAACAAGTCTATTTCTAAACTAGCTTCTTGAGGCACAGTCTGAGGTGTGTGCCGTGCGGGAGGTGGGTGGGGTAGCACTGTGAACAGCAGCACACACCACGGTTACAGTGATGTGCAGAAGGAATTGTTTGCTGCTTTAAGCCTCTCAAAAGCAGTGCCAAGTACTCACAGCCTTTTAATTTTATTTTATGCACCCCCAAGAAAAAAGTTGCAAACTCCCCCAAAATTTTTAAAAATTCAGCCCTAATTATCCTTGTTCACTTTTCAAAAGGTAATTTGGGGACATCTAAGAATGATAATCTCTCACACACACACACACACCATCGTGATTCTTTTCTGTTTGGAGTCATCTTTCTCCAACCTCTCTTCAATCTAAGGTGAATTTGTTTAAATGTAACAGCTCCCAGTGTTTATTTCAGTCACTGTAGCTCCTGTGTGTGTTGTGTGCAGACAGTCACTAGCAGTAAGAAAAACTGAGCATGTGTGACACCAGGACATGTGTGGCACCAGGACGTGTGTGGCACTAGGACATGTGCGGCACTAGGACATATGTGGCAGGCACCAGGACGTGTGTGGCGCCAGGACATGTGTGGCACCAGGACATGTGTGGCACTCAGGAAAAGACAACAGGATTGGGGTGCACTCAGCACAGCAAGACCTCGTCTCCACAGAATATCAAGCAGGAAGGCACTGACCCAGCCTTTTAAAATTATCAGCACCTGACAATATCCACAGCACATAACTGGCTAGAACACCTTTGTCCTACTGCACACACGCTGTACATGCAAACTGTCTATAAATGCCGACTTTATCGCGATGGAACTTTAAGATTCTTTAATGAATTAAAAGCCATCATCACAGGTTCCAAAGTGTGACCTCCATTCCGAGATCAAATTCATAGTGAAGTAACTTTGATATAAATAATTATTTACACATTATCAGCCATAAAACAAACTGACCACCGCATCTCGGATATGACTACTCTGAGACCTAGTTACATCATCTTGACACGCCAAGTCTTTCTGAATCATTTAAGACATCTAGTATGACTATACTTATGGAATTTTCTTTAAACTTCAATGGAAAAAAGAAAAAAAGACACTATAACTACTTCCCAAAACCAAATCTTCAACTTCTACTTCTGGGTTTATTCTGCCACCTGGTGAAATACTAAAAGTTGAGTTAATTCTGGAGAACAGACCAAATAACAAAAAGGGTATATCAGCCTGAAAAGTATACTTATGAGAAATAAAGATATTATAGAACACTTTCATACACACTTATAATGTTTTCATTAAACCAATGCTTACATATTATAACTCATGAATTTAATCAGATGCTTGTTTAATCAGCAGTGATTTTTTTTAAAATTACTTTACTAAAAACAGAAAAAGAACGAGAAACATTAAATTGCTTTTAACATTAGTTATACTTGTACATTCTGTGTTACCCCCAAGGGGTCTGGGTTTGGAATTCTCAATACAGCTGCCCCTCGGCATCCTCAGGAGGCTTGGCTGAAGGACCCCATAGTTGTCGAAGCTGAGGACACGCAAGTCCCATGTATGAAATAGTATGTACGTACATAGAGTGAACCCATCTTCAGGATACTTTAAATCTCTTCTCTATTCCTTATCAAAAATAACTTAGTGTCAATGCAAGGATCAGATATTACACTACGTTTTGTACTGAGTAGGAACAAGGGCCTGCACATGCTCAGTATACAAACAAGTCACTGTCTTCTTTTTCTGACTGTAGCTGGTTGAATCAGTGAACCCCAAACCAGGCCACACGAAGGGGCCAACAGTACTCACTAACAGCAATATTCACTGTCCAGTTAAAATATTAACATTTACAGACTTGCACCACCCACACCAGCTGCAGAACCGACTGGACATGGCGGGAAGACCCCAGGATGAGGCCTACCTGGGAGAAGACGTGTGCGGTTGGAGGCACTCTGCTGTCCACGATGCTATACAGTATTGCTAACAGCCTGTCCAGTGGGAATGGCTTGGGCCCAAGGAGGTGATTGCTTGTCTGTAAAGAAAAGAGAGGATGAAACTCTTTATACCATACCATATGTCTTCTACACTATCAATTCCCAGTAGTAATATACCTTTTCTCTCAAATATACCAACAAATTTAACATTGCCCAATATCATGATTTATGTTTCTTTTTTTTTTTTTTAAGTTTTCGAGACAGGGTTTCTCCATAGCTTTTTGGTTCCTGTCCTGAAACTAGTTTTTCTAGACCAGGCTGGCCTCGAACTCACAGAGATTCACCTGCTTCTGCCTGCCGAGTGCTGGGATTAAAGGCGTGCGCCACCACCGCCCGGCATGATTTATGTTTTTGCTGTGTTTATTAGCACCCATTAACTATACAAAATAATGGGTTTTGTTATAACATTTTAATACACAGTTAATGCATGTTAATCATTTTCACACCTCCCACACCTGCGGATCCTCTCTTCCTATCTAGCTTCCTTTACACCTGTAATTGTGTTAACTCAGTGACTTTCACTGTTACTACTTACAGGAGCACAGGCGAAGGGTGGCAGTAGGACATGTGCAGGCGTGTAAACGTCTTACTGTTGTTATGTCTGCACCGCATCAGTGAAGACAGGAATTGTGCCACGCTTGTTAGTATTCAAATTTCTTTTTGCACCATTTACCCTTTTGCCATTTTGTAACTGATTTGTAAAAATACTCACACATTCTAATTGCTTGCCTATGAGTTCAAGAGAGTAGGGAGCAGAATTGAAGGCTTTGGTGTAGGCCCAGAATCGGATCATGGTACAAACTATGAAGAGGTGGTGAAATAATTGAATTTCCTCAAAACCGAAGAAAAGATGGACTGAAAAAATTACCCTTGGGATAAAGTATTCAAAGACCAAAGGAAACGAAGAATGCAAATGGCTTTGAAAAGGACAATGTCTAATGTATCTACACAGTGTCTCAAGAAGACAGATAAAGGGAGAAGTGGCAACATGTGAAAAGTTAATGGTCAGAAGCAAAACTAATTCAAGATAAAAAGAAATTTAATCCCAGATACACTCCAGCACAACAATAACAAAGGAAGCAAACTGATGAAGAGTAGAGAATACAGACATCAAAAAAGAAAAGGGAGCAGACCTTTTTATAGCAGTAACAATGAAAGGCAAAAGATAGTAAAGTTAGTTTTTGCTTCTTAAAGTCCTGAAAGCACCAGTAATTGAGAAGCGTGTCAAACAGTAATTCTGAAAATCAAGTATTTTAAAATGAAACGACCCGAAAATAAACTAACTTGATACTTATATACTGAGAAATAATGGTAAGAAAATAATAAAGATTTTTATTTCCTTAATTATAAGCTATTATAGTTTTAAGAGTAGGAAACTTCATATGTGTAGTAAAAACACGGTGACTCACAACAAACAACATGTGTGCTTCACATAGCATGATGGTATGACCTCTCAGGTCAATGCATGCTTGACTTTAAGTTGGCTCTTGAATGTTTAGAAATCTTTTACTATTGACATACGGGGTCAAGACCCATAGTTTTATATAAGCACCTCTAAGTTTCACTGTGGAACTCTCTTTCCTGCTTAAGTGTTTATGGGTTTCTCATTTTTATTTCATCAACAGAATTTTTGTAGGTATTTGAGAGTGGAAAAGAAGAAGGTAAAAGAGTTTAATCCACTGTGTTTAACTGAACAGTACAGGGAGAGCTTTTTCATTAAGTATGTTATTAAAAACTCGGTCAACTCAGTTTTATCTCTGGCTCCCGCTTCTTCCAGTTTGCTTTCGAACAGTGCACTTAACAAAACATCATTACATTAAAAGGTAACACTACTGAGAGAAAAAGTTCTCATATGCAAATATAATTATTACACATTCATCCATTTCCTTAATTATCCTAAATCATAAGTTTCCCTAAATTCAAAAGTTAAGGGAATTTAAAATATAAATACCTTCTCATGTTTCTTTAGAAAGTTGGTTTTCTTGATTTTCCCATGATGCTACAATTAAAAAAAATAAATTTTTAGATTAAGAAGCTTCAATAAGAAAAGGCAATTTGTTGAAAAGATGCCATATAAAATGTTAATTATATATATTTTATATATCTAAATATCACTTTTAGAAATGTTATTGTACTTATTATGATATGTTTTAGGGTAGACTTAGACTGGAAGCAGACTTTTGCACATAAAGATTATAAAATACAATTGACAATAGTGATAATTCTTAAAAGAATTTGTTATATTGACCTTAAAACTACATATTCACGATACAAAACCAGAACTTCCAAAGATAAACAAATGTATATTTGTCACTTAAAGGAGGATAGCAATTCATGGATTATACACTGGCTGAGAACATTTGCGCACTCAAGACTCAGTAGTCAGAATGGGGTTGTCCTTGCCCCTCAAAGACTAGTAACAAAAGAAAACAACAGCAACAAAACCTGATTACTAAATATTCTGTCAGAGAATAAAGGACGGTTCCCTGAGGGCTGGAGTTCAAATGCCCAGAGCTTACATAAATGCAGACAAGTGTGGCAGCCTGCCTGTAGTTCCAGCCTTGGAAAGAGACAGCGATGCCCACGGTAAGCCAGCTACTTGACTAACCAGACTGGAGAGCTCAGGACTCGATGGAGAGACCCAAGATGATTCCAACCCCAAACTCCACATGCATGTGCACACACAGGCATGCTCACCTTGCCCACACACATGTGCACACAAACATTAAGATGCTCATACACACATGAAAATGGAAAAGGAAAAGTGGAAAGGTTTTGGACTAACAGTTTATTCCCGATTTCCTGTCTTCTGTAAAGCAGCTACTTTCTCCCAAGGTTAGACTGGGTGTAGGGCCCTTAGCAAACAGGTCCTAACTGTGTACTTGGTGATCTGTGTCCTGCAGAAGTTTACGGAGAAACTTCAAAGCAGTCATTCCTTGTATCCACAGAGGACTGAGGACATACAGACAATACCAAATTCCATGGATATTCAAGTTCCTCACTGAAAAATTGATGTGGGAGTGTCATATATCAATCTGTTGATTTCATTGGTTAAGTAATAAACACACTGCTTGGCCTCATAGTTTAGAACATAGGTGGGTGGAACAAACAGAATAGGATGCTGGGCGGAAGAGGAAGTGAGGTCAGACTCTGCTCTGCTCCTGGACAGACCCAACAGCTCTGCTCTGGAGCAGAGACGCCATGCTTGCCATGCTCCACTCTCCCAGGATGGACGGAGGCTAGAATCTTCCCGGTAAGCGCACCTTGGGGTGCTTACACACATTATTAGAAATGGGCTAGTCCAGGTGCGAGAATTAGCCTGTAAGGGCTAGAGTTCATGGGCCAAGCAGTTCTTAAATGAATACAGTCTGTGTGTTGTTATTTCGGGCATAAGCTAGCCAAGCGGCCGGGGTGTTGGGGACGCAGCCCCGCCGCCGCTCTTATTTCAACAAAAAATAAGTATGATAGTTGTATAATATACTCTGATCTTTGGATCATCTTAGATTACCTAACATAATTTAAATGCTCTAAAAATCATTAATATATTAGTTATGGAATAATGACTATAAAAATGTCTTTACATGTTTAGTACACATACAATATTTTTGAAGCTCATATATTTGAACCTGCAAGACCAACTGTACTCCTGGGATTTTCCTAAGAGTAAGAAGCTACTGTTACCTTAAGGAAGAACCTCCTGTCAGTTCTGGCCGGGTTATAGGAGGCAAGGTACGCAGCAATCAGAATAAACTTAGAGTAATACGGAAGCTCCATGTGGGTGTACGCCGAGAGACCTAAGTACAGAACACCGCCATTATCTACCAGGCTACCGTTAGGTGACAAGTGTACTCTACAGCCTACCTTTTGACACCACGGCTGTGCCCCGCTACTGCTGCGGACACTGGCACCACAGTGCTGAATATTGTTAGTGACATACTTTGCTCTACTTGATCAGCTCCTCCCAATTTGAAGTGTAAACCCGATTATGTTTTACTTTTAAGATTATTGTTAATGACATACTTTGCTCTACTTGATCAGCTCCTCCCAATTTGAAGTGTAAACCCGATTATGTTTTATTTTAAGATTATTTTCTACATTACACGTTCCCTGAAGGTCTTCTATGACCACAAAATAGGAAATTTACTTCTACTTTAATTCTTTATTTTTACATATATAGCTCACACATGTAATATTATGTTATGTGTTAAAAGCTACTTGGATAAAGATAAAAAACCCTATTGGAGGGCACTCTCCACGGAAGAAACCATATCTAGTGTACTATATACCTACAATTCTATGCACACAAGCAAGTGTGTCACACATAGTCGGAGACCTTACATGAGTATTATTTAAAATCTTTGTAGTAATTTAAAGCTAACTACTCCTTCTCATTTTTTAAACGAACAAAGAGCTCAGTTTGAAGGCACAAAGCAAGTAGAACAGATAAACTACAGTCTGAAGGCTCACAGGAGCAGTACAGATAAATTACAGTCTAAAGGAACACAGAAGGAGTACAGGTAAACTACAGTCTGAAGGCTCACAGGAGCAGTACAGGTAAACTACAGTCTGAAGGCTCACAGGAGTACAGGTAAACTACAGTCTGAAGGCTCACAGGAGCAGTACAGGTAAACTACAGTCTGAAGGCTCACAGGAGCAGTACAGGTAAACTACAGTCTGAAGGCTCACAGGAGCAGTACAGGTAAACCACAGCATTTCTCTAACTCTGGTCATTGTCTCTCTCTCCTGCAGTATAAGACAGGAGGTCACCTGTAAATCAGCTGACGCACTCGGAAACCATCACATCATTCCCTTTCTTAAACAGAAATCTTTACATTTTTGAAAAGAAAAAAATTACATTTTAGATATTCTGAGTAATAAAATGTGGTCAGTTTGATAAAAATGCAAAATAATACCTTCTTTAAAGAAAACAAACATCCTTTGAAAATATAAGTACTGAAGAGGACCCTTTAAGTTAATATAAGTTAATATAAAGTTGGATTTTATTTTAGGTAAAGTTGTACCATGTACCTGGATTATTTAGGTGAAAACACTAAAGAAATATTCATTGATTTTTCACATGGTAGAAGCCAATCAAGATAGAATCTAAGGAAACACCAAACTGGCATTCAGTTGAAGGAAAAGCATTAATGAAAATATCTAGTTTACAAAGCAAACTCTTTTCAGGCTTCATTTGCTGACTGAAGATCCTCTAACCACCATGTCTGTAATAGTTTAAACAGTGTCCTGGTCATTCTCGGGGTTTTCTTTGATACCTTTTAGCTGTCCTGGGTCTGTGTCCTCTTCCTGTAACTTTTCCCACTGAGAACTAAAATAAAACAGGACAGCAAAATTAGACTGAAAATACAAGAAATCAATATCCTGCAATAAGAAGAGCCCTACAGAACACATCATTTTCATTCATTAGGAAATAGAAAAATAATATATACACACAGTCTACATGCTGTACCTGTACAAAAACATCTGATATATATCAACGGTGTAACAAATTCCCCATTGTTAATTTTTAATTACCTTTTTTACTCTAATTACAATAAATAAATACCACCATCCACTCAGTAAAGCTCTCAACAGTTCTAATCACTGCACTGGATACAACTGTACATTAATTCTACTCTGGAATAACTGATTGATGATCAGATCAGAACACTGAGGCCCAAAGATTTAAGTCCTTCAAGAACACACAGTCAAAAGCAGAACTAATAAATGAATCCATATTTTTCAAAAGAGAGGGAAGAAAAATCAGAAACTGTACAGATGGTTAGGACAGGCTAGAAGGATAAGGAAAGGCTTCTCAAGCAAGAGATACAAACTCGCAAACTGTTCACTCACGCTCACCTTTGTTGTCCTTTAGACGTAAAATTAAACTCCGTGTTCACTAACAATCCCTGCATAGTTTCCTGGGTCATCACTCAGAGACACCTTATGCACAGTGTTTTTTGTTCCACTCTGCTTAACCTGTTTTCTACAGTTGTGATTACTTGGCTGACAGGTTGAAAAGATAACTATTTGGCTTTACCTCTCTTTGAAAATGCTGATCAATTTTAAGGTCTTATTAACTTTCTTTTGTAAGTAATTTTTTTGCTTGGAAGCCTAGAAATGATTTTCATTTTTTCTTTTTAGTCTAAATAGTTTACGCATCTCAATGGTAGACTTAATAATGCTTCTGTCAAAGCTGCTAACAAGTAATCATGTTGTCTTATGTGGGGAAAAACATGCAGCCTAGCCAGACACTGAGATAGGAAGTTTCCGGGTAAAACAACTGGCCCTTCCAGATGAGGTCAGCGGGAGGAGACCGTGCTGGGCTGCTGACTTTAGATGCAGTAAGGAGCCGCAGGCTGATGAAGACAGCAACTGCCAGAGCTGCAGGACCGCACCCCGTGGGCTGTTCCAGGCTGGCGAGGTGCAGCTCTCTAAGACATTGCATTGTTTTACATGGCTGGTCTGTGGTGATTTAGCAGAACACAGCACACTAGCAGAGTCTCAATGAACCACGCGTATAAGCCGGGGTTATATAACCCGGGGCTGTGGGCACCGGTGGTGCAGGAAAGCAGGCCTTCCTTCATTTCCCACATGCCTTCTTTACTCCAGTGCTGCCCTTTGTAGAACCCAGGGTCTCCTATCTCATGAGGGCCAGGTAGACATGCTGACTCTTTTCTGTCATACGTACATGGAGAAGGGGAGGAAACCACGTATGCTTTAATTGAAGAAAAGCTTAGATATGAAGTTTAAATCGTTTAGAAATTTGAAGTATTTTAGAATTTAGATTTTGGATTAGAGCACTTAATCATCAAATCCTATACAAATATTCAAAGCACAACAAGAAAAAAACAACCAAAAGAACTGGTGTTTGTAACACACTTTGGATAAGTGATATCTAACATGTTAAACACACAATTACCTTGATATCTCCCTGAGATAAACAGTCTGCATTGCTTTCTTCAGGTGAGGCTCAATATTTCTCCACAGTTTGCGAGTATCACGTTCACCTGCTACTCCCAGGAGAAAATTTCAATAATTCAAATCTTGTATAATTTTTCTCCAATGAACTATTAATTATTATATTTAGTTACCTTCTCCTTTAACTACAGGTTCACAGTATTTGGGAAAATTAAGCACTGCCTATGAATTTAAAAAGACAAACAAAAAGCAGAAATATTAGTTAAGAATTTTTCACATAAATTTTTTATTACAAATTAGGCAGTTGATTTTTAAGTACAGGATAATTCTAACTTATTACAGCAAAAAAACAACAAAAACATCAATAATGGTAGCATACACACTATTGGCTAAGCCTTACCTAATGCATTAGGTACATATAAAATAATTAGGCATAATTTGTACTTAGCCATAATGCTGAATAAAAAGATTCACTGCTATTTTCCAGCATGTGAACACCATCATAAATGAAGCATCACCTAATTAAGGATAATTTAAAGAATTTGCACTGGTTGCTACACATGAGTTCTTGGCATTATCCGGGGCATACTAAAATCCATCAGAGAATAAGTCCCGAAATGTATTAAATGTTTTAACAATCTCTCCAGGAATTCTAGCACGAGGAAGCGTGAGAAGAACTAACTAATCCCAACTACTTAGTATTTTCCATACTAGAATCTAACTAAACTGAAATGCAGTTTTAGTAAAATGTGTGTATTTACACACAGAGCTGGCATTTACTGACATGAATCCGATCTCAAGCACTTTATGATGAAATGATTTAATATTGGAGCCCAGAGCAGAGACACACATAATAAGTATTGCAAGTCACTGCAGAGAGAAAGGAACAGACAAGAGCTATCTGCCACAGCCAGTTCTTACACTGACTTAGCGTCTCACGTTAGCAAACTCCACAGCACTGTCCAGCATCGTGCCCAATTCTCCTACCCCAGTTCTCAAATATCCGTACATTTCTACCACTTGTTAACTTTCTGTGAATGTGACAACGCACCATAATCCAGGCAACCGGAAGCATTTAACTTAGGGATCCTAACCGCAGAGGGTGAATCCATGACCATCATGGGGAGGTGGCAGCAGGCTCGGCACTGGAGTGGGAGGGAGCGGAGAGCCTACATAGAACTTCAAAGCCTGTCCCCAGCAACAAACCTCTTCCAACAGGACCCCACCTCCTAATCCTTCCCAAACAGTTCCATCAACTGGGGACTAAATATTCAAACATGAACCCATGGGCCATTCTCAGTCACTCCACCACAGGTTCACTACGGCATAACAGGAATTCATATTCACTAGAACCTTAAGCAGTATCGCTAGTTTCCAAGAAAAACAAAACTATAAGGCTGCTAATAAAAACCACAAAACTGCTCCAAAACCAAGAAAAATCATTTTAGATTGGTTTCAATACTACAAATTTTCACCCTAACTGCATAACTCCTCACATGTCCCCATGACAGTTATCAAATTTAAAATATTTTTACGAGTTCCATCAATAAATAGGAAAAGCGGTGTAACTTTATTAGGAACTGACGACAAGCTCAGTTCGCGTCCACCACAGCGGGAGAAGCAGAGCTCAGAAAGCACAACTATCGGGGCTCCCTGCTGACCGACTGCTGAGAAGAGCACTTGCTATGTACGCCCTCTGGTGGCTGAGGAAACAGATGCCAGGACAGCCTGCCTACAAGCACAAGATTCGGTTCACCTAAAATTTAATTGTCAATCTGTGAGGTGAGCTGAGAAATTGTTTCTAAACCAATAAAGAACACTTTTATTAAAGCCCTATTCAGGTACAGAAAATATTTCCCATTGTTCTAAAAAAGAGACTTGTATTACTTTAGGTGGTAAAAAAATCGATTATAAATACTGACATGGCTGCCGGGTTAAGACGCTTTTCCAACTCTTCCTCAGTGAGATTTCCAGCACGGTTTCACTCTAACAGGCAAGATCATTTGCTGGAAGGTAGTCTAAGCCATGCAAAGAGTAATAAGACTTTTAAGGAGACCCCAAATCGTCCCTTAGCGTGCCCATACCTTCTCACACCTTCAGTTCAATCAAATACTAATCTGGGCAATGCTGAGCAGAGATGCTGCAGATGAATTAAGATCCCAAAGAGTTCCAACAGGGAAGACTGCCGGGTGAGCCAGAGCTACTCACGGGAGAGCCACAGAAGTCAGTGGGTACAAGGGAACTCAAGCACTGTCCCTTGCTGGTAGAGGGAGCTGACCACTGTACCTTCTCATGGAGGCCTGAGGGAGACATATACCATCTAGTAAACAGGACCATGAAACTTCATTCGTATAACCCAAAGAAACAGATGTGTCCCCATAACCTAAAGATGAAAATCCATTCTATACAAAATTTTGATTTTGGCTTTAATAAACAATGAAGAGAGAACTTAGCAACACAGTGCCTGGTTTGTGACCTACAGAATAGCGAGATAATAAATGTGTTATTTAAGATATTAAATATGACAATTTCACATGTAGCAATAGAAAACCAGCATGCGCCAGCAGCACAGACACTGAGATCGATAATTAATAAATGGGACCTCCTGAAACAGAGAAGCTTCTGTAAAGCAAAGGACAAAATGGCAGCCTTACAGGATGGAAAAAGATCTTCACCAACCCCACATCTGACAGAGGACTGTTCTTCAAAATATATGAAGAACTCAAGAAACTAGACATCAAAATACCAAATGATCCAATTAAAAATGGGATACAGACCTAAAGAGAGAATGATCAACAGGAAAATCTCAAATGGCCAAAAGAACTTAAGGAATTGCTCAGCATCCTTACTCACCAGGGAAATGGAAATCAAAATGACTCTGAGATACCATCTTACACCTGTCAGAATGGCCAAGATCAAAAACACCAAGGACAGCTCATGCTGGAGAGGATGCGAAGTTAAGGGGAACACTCCTCCACTGCTGGTGGGCGTGCAAACTTGTACAAACACTTTGGAAATCAATACAACAGTTTCTCCGAAAATTAAGACCCAGATATACCACTCTTGGGCATATATGCAAAGGATGCTCAATCATACCATAAGGACACTTGCTCAAGAATGTTCACAGCAGTGTTATTCATAACAGTCAGAACATGAAAACAACCCAGATGCCCCTCAACCAAAGAATGAATAAAGAAAATGTGGTACATTTACACAATGAAGTATTAACTGTAAAAAACAACAACAACAAAAATGACATCATGAAATTTGCAAGCAAATGGATGGGAGTAGAAAAAATCATCCTGAGTGAGGAAACCCAGACCCAGAAAAACAAACACGGTATGAACTCACTCGTAAGTGGATACTGAGTGTAAAACAAAGGACAACCAGGCTACAATCCACAGCCCTAGAGAAACTAGGCAATAATGAGGGTCCTAAGAGGGGCATAAGGATCATCCTGTGAACAGGAAATACATGAGATCTCCTGGTAAACTGGGGTGGGGGAGTAGAGTGGAGGGAATAGGGATGGGAACATGAGAGATCAGGATAGTTGTTGGGGAAGGATGGAGAGATGAGAGCAATGAAAGAGATATCTTGATGGAGGGAGCCATTATGGGGTTAGGGAGAAACTCCCAGGAATCCACAAGGATGTTCCCAGCTAAGACCCCTGGCAATAGTGGAGACGATGCCTGAACCAACCTTCCCCTTTAATCAGATTGGTACTGCTGTAACTGTCATCAGAGAACCTTCATCTAGTAACTGATGGAAGCAGATGCAGAGATCCACAACCAAGCCCTGGGCCGAGCTCCAGAAGTCCAGCTGAAGAGAGGGAGGGGGGATTATATGACCAAGGGGGTCAAGATGAGGAAACCCACAGAGACAGCTGACCCGAGCTTGTGGGAGCCCATAGACGCTGCACTGGGACCTAGGGAGCCTACATGGGACCAACCTAGGCCTTCTGCATGTGGTGACAGTTGTGTAGCTTGGTCTATTTGTGGGGCCCTTAGCAGTGGGACCAGAACCTGTCCCTGGCTTTTAGGAACCGATTCCCTATGGTGGGATGTCTTGCCCAGCTTTGATGAAGTGGGGAGAAGCCTGGTCCTGCCTCAACTTGATATGCCAAGCTTTGCTGAATCCCATGGGAGTTACCCTTTCTGAAGGAGTGGATAATGGGGGACGGGGATTAGAAAGGAGGTGAGGGAGAGAACGGGAGGAGAGGAGGTAGGGGAAACTAAAGTTGGTATGCAAAATAAATTTTAAAAAATTAATGAATAAAGAAAACCAACATACATACTGAAGTATAAAAACAAAAATACTCCAGAGCCAAGTTGATATAGTTCTGAATTGTTTTGGTTGTTTAGAATCTCATCTCTTTCTTAAATACTGAAGGAACAAAAATCAGAACTAAGAACGCTTGAATTACCACTAACTCATAGTGATTCCAACCAGCAATAAGTTGTGTGAAGAACTTCTAAATACTTATGTGTATTAACTCCTCAGTCCTTCAAAATATCCAGTGTGGTAGACATAACTACTGTGCCCACTTTACAGATGACTTAATCTCCAATAACCACAGAAAACTGCTTTCAAATGCATCAAATATCAGGACAGAAGCAACCCTTCCATGATAATTGACCTATCTTAAAACAGATATCCAGAGACAGCTTGAAATGAGAAAATAAGCTTCAAGTAACCAAGTGCAAAGATACCTCCACAACCAAATACAAATACAAAAGAAATACAAAGAAAAAGATGGCACCCTAATCAATGGCAAAAGTGAACATGACTGACCATCAGCACCTGACAAACCAGAAGAGAACAGTGTCAGAGAAGCTGATTCCTCTGCTACCTGACAGGATGAACAGAAACAGGTCACCCCATATGCCGCAAATGTATGACATGTTTTAAAAAATATGCAAAACTCAGGTTAAGCAAATAGACTACTGTGTTTGGCATTAGATAAGTATAAAATACCACCTTTAGTTAGCTTTTCTAACAATTATAATTACTAATTTTGGACTACCAAATGTATTTTCAGAGAAAGCAAAGCTAAATGAATATTCAGAATGGTATTTTATTTCCTCCTGTCTTTGTTGCCTCTATAGGCAGTCTCTAAAACATACTTATACAATAGAAACTCCTAACAGATTTAAATGCACACACAGAAAAAAAATGCTTGAACAGAATTTTATGTAGGCTACTTATGACATTTTTATAAATATACCATTTACAAACTTTGCAATAAGTAACACTATGCATATGATGGAAAGTAAGTGTCTCAACTCCTTCATGTCCTAGACACAGAGAAACTAAGACCCCTTTGTTCTGTGCAACGCTGTCTTCAGGGTGTGAGGACTTTTACAGCTAGCACTGCCAGTGGTGAAGACATCCCCGCCTTCTTCCTCTCACAACTCCAAACCCAGGCAACGGGAAAAAGTTAGGCGTGATCATTTCCCAAACTTCTAGAAAATATAAACAACTATTCTAGTCTTTGTCAAAGTTAAAGCCTTTTACACAAAATCACTAACTGGGCAGTGAAGATCTACAATTAAAGCTTCTTGCCATACTCTAATGGTAAGCTCCGAGGCCAGTCACGACATAAATAAAAACTGGAGGAAGGTGATATAAAATTAGCAGTAGGATACTGAATTGCTTGTTGTTACATCTCCTGCTATTTTTCATTTTTACTCTAATGGTTTCTATAGTTTCTGTAACTAAAGAGAGAATCAGTAACTAAAAGTACTTGCTTTTCTGAAGACTAGAGCTTGAATGCTGACTCCTACGTAAGGAGCCAGGGTGGGTGCCACACACACCTGTACACCAGTGATGAGGAGGGAAGAGCTAAGAGCATCACCGGAGTCTCCTCACTGCCAGTCCGGAAGAGACATGTAAGCTCCAGGTTCCAGAGAGACCCTGCCTCAAAACAGTCAGAGACGGAGCAGTGCGCTATCAGCTTCCTCAAGCCTCTGCACGCCCAGCTCCTCACACATGTGCACCAACAGACACAACACACACACACTCCTAACAATTAAAACATGGACCTGACACTGAATGCGAGTTTTCTCATTAGGTCTAGTATGCACTAACACAGACACCAATCCTTTTAAGGTATATTAGCCTTAAAAAGCCTTATCCAAATTTCTGAAGTATTTTCTCAGTTTCTGGCTTGTGTTAAAATTTTCTAAATGGGACAATAAGCATGTGTTTGTGTGCGCACACAAAATGGTCACTTACCAGATGTCTGAGCTCCTTCAGATCTCGGCACACAGTGTAGAAAACTCCAAGAAGAATATTAATATAGGCAGCATAAAAATCAGCTGAGTACTCTGGAGGGTGGTCGTGGGACAGGATCTTTTGGAGGTTCCCTGTTCAGAGAATACAGACTCACTCCATGAACAGCACGGAAGCATCATCGTTACGTTCCAGGATGTTATAAATGTTTTTAAGAAACAAACATTTAGGTCCAACAATAATTAGAGAAAATAAGTGGTTACTAGTTAAAAAAGTATAATTCTATGATAGAATAATTTGTATTTCTTTTCTTCATGGCACAAAAATGATGGCTTAATTCCCTCCCAAACATACGTGAGCTTACACTAATGAGGTGACCTGACTGGGGCCTCTCCACGGCTGACAGGTGAGAGACAGCTGCTAGAGCTCCTACTTCCTGGCCTTCAGGAAGAAGAGAAAGGTTGAGGGCCAAGTTCATCCCCAGCGGACGATGGTTTAGTCAGCTGTACTGATGTAAAAGACGCTCCATCAACTCCCTGAAACTGGTCTGATGTGTCCTACAATTGCTTTTAGGGCAAGACCTACCACAGAAGGAAAAGCCAATCTAACACAGACTGAACTTTTCTGTAATGAATAATTAACAGTGGATGGATATAATCAAATGTCAAACAACATGCAATAAAGGACTGTGGGACCTGGAACAGGGAAAACAGGTGAGTCCTACCATCAACCCAGTTTTCTCTCCCCTGCCCCCTCCATGGAGCCCTGGCTGTCCTGAAACTCTTGGTGGACCAGGCTGGCCTTGAATACACAGAGATCTGCCTGTCCAACCGGGTTCTCTAACCAGAGTGCAGTACAAAGAGTCCCAAAGGAGCTCAATAATGTTACTGAGTTGAGGAGAAGGAGGACGGGGTAAAGATAGCATCAATTTACAGACGTGTTTCCAAGGGCACAGAGTTATGCCAAGAAAGGCCTGCCAAGAGGTCTTGAGTTCATATTAATTTGTATATGCACAGATTAAGGACAAATAAGAACAAATGGAAATTAGAGAGATGACAAAGCAATTAATGAGAATTAAAAGTCACATGGGTTTATTAATTTATATTAATTTTTAGTCAGAATGCACAGACCATGATGAGGCATCAGTAGAGATGGGGCACTGGGTAGAGAGTGCAAAAGGTGCTAGGTCTTTGGGAAAAAAAGCTAAAACTAGCCCTGGAGTAAAGGCAATTCTAGATCCCTTCTCCCAAATACATCAAACATAGCCTCAAAATGCTCAAATCACAATGTCTATCATTCCGTTAACTAAATAAATAAAGAATAAAAAGGTAGATAAATGAAGCCAGCAGGAAAAACAATGAAAGAAGCAAAGAGTTAGATTATTATAAACATCAACAAGATAAAGAAAAAGTAAGAAGAGCTCTATGATGAAAAATTCCAGAGGATGGCAAGATTAACTTCAGGAAAAAGGATGGTGAATTTAAAGACAGAGAAATAAAAACTGTATCAAAAAAAGTAAAGGGAAAAATAAATTTAAACAAACCCCAGTGGTACACTACCAAGTGACATAAGATAAACAACACAGACCTGGAGGGAATAAAAGTTATAGGTGGAGACAAAGCCTATGAAGAAATACTGGCTAAAAGTTATGCTTACATCAGTGGTTTTCAACAGGTGGGTCATGACCTCTTTGGGGTTGAACAACCCTTTCATGGGGGTTGCCGTATGACCATCAGAAAACACACATATTTACATTATGGTTCATAACAGTAGCAAAATTATAGTTATGAAGTAGCAACAAAAATAATTTTATGGTTGGGGGTCAACACAACATGAGGAACTATATTAAGGGCTCACAGAATCAGGAGGTTGAGAACTGTCTTAGATGAAACTATAAATTTATAGATCTAGAATAACAAAAACACATTAGATTATGTAATAAAAGCTATTTTCTTTTTTACATTTCTATTTTATTAAAACCAAAAGAGTATTACAGGTGTCTAATAACCAGTACCAAGGGGCTTACAGGAGGAAGGAAAACACAGGACAGAGGTGGGACACACAGCTTGTGCAGTAGGAAACTGTAGGTGCCTGACTTTTTCATATTGTTATCAGAGCAGGACTTAACTGCTGACAACAACTAAGCCACACCTAAGCAGAGGGAGAAGAAGGCACACACGCCCCTAAGAGACGCAGTCTTCTGCCTGTAAGAAAGGCTTTCAAATCGAAGCCCTGGCTACAACTGGGAAGGTGTCCTTGAAACCAGAGCCACAGCCCTAAAAATGCATGGCTGTCAGGCTAACATGAGGGGCCCATTAGCTGCCAATCCCTTTGCCTTGATTCCCTGCTGAACATGATTTGGTTTACCAATTAATGTTTCAGTTTTGAATAGAAAGTTATGATTATAGTGCTTATGCTATGCATAGAAAGGCCCTACAACTTAATAAACAAATGTAACATGACCCCGTTTATCATATGCGTAACACGTCTGTTTTCCTACAGGACAAAATCAGAAAGACTGCTATATTTAATTTTTTCCTGAAATTCCATCCATGCTGCTTTGTATCTTACAAAAAGATCAGATTCTACAATTATATCATACTTTTACCTTCATGATGCAGAAAATAATTTCATAATTTCCTTAACTTTGAAATAGTTTTTCAATATTTGAAACTAAGATGGAAAACAGGAAAGGTCAAAAGCAACTGTTTACTAAAACCCTTTGACTAAGCCTTTCCTTCATTATTTTGTGATTTGTATGGACGAGAAGCTATTAAAAATAAGGTTTTCGTCCATTTTGAGTTCCCTTAAATAAAAACAGTTAATTAGCTAAAGCAGGAGGTGTTATTTGGTTTCTGATCTTGTGAAAACAGGCAAAGCTGTGTTGCTCTTGGCAATGAATGTTTTTGGCTCATGAGCTGAGAGGAGCAGTGTTAGCAAGGCCAAGATCACGGGACGCTATTTTCTCACAGCCCGCTACAGCACCTCATGCTTCACAGCTCTAACCTGAGTCAGCGGTATCCTCTCTGTATAATCATAGCTCAACTTCATTAACTACAAGGCCAGTAAACAATACAAAAGTATTGTGTTCGTTCAAAGAGATAAATTACTAGACCCTATAAAATTTAAGATGAAACATAAACCTCAAGAAAATACACAAAAGAACTAGCAATAGGCACAGTAAGAGTTACAGCAATGACAAAATTTTAAAGACTCAAGATACATGGCCCTGGAACTTAATCCAGGTATATGATAAAGATTTCTCTACAGTTCTAACGTGTTACGAATCTCGTATACTTCTTTCTTGCGTAGATGTTATAATCACAGGATACACACAAGAATGAATTAGAGATGATGAAAGTTTACCCTAGCAAACACATGAGACCTGCTCTGCTCATTTAGTGACCATGAGTGAGAACAGACCCTTCACGGTTTCAAAATAAAATTTCTGCAATGCAGGAATACAAGCATTTTGAGACTGGTAACAAAACTAAACAACTGAAGATGCCAAAGTATCTCAGGCTGACCACGGCATAGTTCTGAAGAAAAGACAGGGGTTATTTGCTCAAACAATTAAAACTTACCTATGCTATAATCAGGGAAATACAAGACAAATGGTTCAAAGCATCCGGTGTTTGGACGAAACTTTTCCCAAATGATCTCACTGAGAAAGATAACAGTCACATTTCTGTCAGTCTGCAAAGAAAAGGGAAGAAAAGAAACATAGTATTTAAGAATCTGAGGGCAGTAATTCCCTTTGGATTTATCTTCAACTGAATTCTGCAAAGCTTAACATACGCAATAAATTATTTGCATATTAATAAACCATATTTAGAAAACCTAATCAGGGAGCTCAACCATTTGCAAATTTTCATACATAATTGCTTGGAATTTCCATAAAACTGTAGGTTAATCAACATCTCAGTTACTCACGAGCGCCAGAGCGGTCACACAAGAACGTGTTCTGTAGATACTAAGAAACACATCTGCTTGGAAAAATTAAGACAAAATCCTGTGAGAATGTTCTAAAAATCTTGATAGGTATTTCCCATCATTAAAATATTTACAGCAACTCAGAAAAAAAGAAACATAGAATTGGATAAAAATTTGTCATATTGTATAACTTCATATTATTAAGAAATACTAAAGCTTTCTGTTCATTTTCAAATGATTGAGAAACATTAATGGCCACTATATTTTAAAAATACAAATAACTGTAACTAATAATATCCCTCTAAATCATCAATGCTAAGTAAAAGAGGTTATCTTTTGAAATATATTTAAAAATTTCCCTTAGCTTACCAAAAGCAATAACGAAAGCTGACTGTGCCCATTATCCTTTAAGAGACTCGTCACAAACTCATCCTGACACCCCTTCCTTTTCCACACAGGCTTTCATTTTCCAAAATTCTTTTTGGCTAACAATGCAGATGTGGTATCTGCTCTGGTCTGTAAGCATTCTTAGAATCCAGTTTCATATGTAAGTTGCACTACATTTTGGGGAAAATCTACTATTTGATTCCTAGCAAATGTGGTTCTTGTATGCTGTTTTGCATTACTTAGAAAAATAATTCCTTTGATTAACAAAAACAGATGAACTTAATGAATAAATAATTCCATAGAGCAACTGATCATCTTTACGAAGGAGCACAGACGTCCTTTTGCTTACAGGGAAGCACTGAAAGAACCAGGAATGTTGTTAGCACACAGGGGTCCTGCACTCACAGGGAAAGAACCAGGAATGTTATCACACAGGGGTGTCTCCTCAGTGGAGGACATAAAATACCTGCAGTCCATCCAGAAAGCTGAGAGTGGATTCCGTTAAGGACATGGTGATCCCTTGCTGTCTGTGGAGGCAGACTTCCCCCAAGTTCCCCAGAATGCTTATCCCAGACTTCCCCCCTAGACCATTACCCACCCTGAGAGGAGACATCACAGGTACTTTATGGGCCTGCTGACCTCCACGCTATGGGTCAGAGACCACACTGTAGAACCCACTCTCATGGGTCCATGGTACTGTGCAAGAGTTTCTCTGTAGTTTACACTGTGTGAAGATGTGTCACTGTGACTAGCCAACAGCTAGGCAGGACTTCTGGGGAGACAGAGGAAGAGGAGGAGTATGCCACAGAGACGCCAGGGAGAAGTTGCACATGTGGCACCGAGCAGAGGTAACCAGGCCACGTGGCAGAACATACCTTAACAGAAACAGGTTAGCTTGACTTATAAGAGCTGGCTGAGGATAAGCCTAAGCTAAGGCCAGGTTTTCATAATTAATAATGATAAGTCTCTGTGTCACTGTCTGGGGGCTGGTGATCCACAGATAGCCTGGCAAGAAAGTTACATCACACTTTAAAGAGGGACTGGGCTGCCTGTTACCTGGAAACCTTTCCCCAGACTGCACTGTTATAAACATGCTGACAATGATCCGCCTCATTAGACTCCCTGAGTCTGATCTGGGCAGAGGAAGTCGCTCTGCTTGGGTTTCATTCTTATCTCTTCCCAAAGCGTCACTCCCTGGAGACCTGCAGGGAGTCCTCAGGAAAAGATTTTACTTCTCGTAAATGCAGGACCCACTTTCTACCACTGAGATACACCAGCCCCAAAGAAGGCTTTCTGAATGCTTTTTCCTTAGAAACTTACTGATTTAAAAAAAAAAAAATAATCCTGAGTTTATTTAGGCTTAAAAGTATGCGCTATCCACATTCCTGATCATAAAGCTCACGCAAAAATCATCAGATTTATTTCTACTTATTTAGTGTGTGTCCACTTGAGCACCACAGCAGAGCATGGAGGCCAAAGGACAATGTGTGGGGTTGGGTCTCTGTGATCATCAGGGTTCCAGGTAGTGAATGTGCATCACCAGGCTTGGAGGCAGGTGCGCTTAACACTGAGCCAGCCTGCCCGTTCAAAAAGGCATCTTATAATTATATAAAAAGTTAAACATATATGGAGAAGTTAAGAAAAAAAAAAAGATCAATGATTTGAAATCTGTAGTATTTTCAACTGTTCATCTTAAAATACTTCCAGTATACAATGTTTTATCATAATTTAAATTTCCTTTGACTCAGACACTTAATGTAAAAAATAGAAAATGCTTTTATTAAATTCCTCTGAAATGGAATACAATTCAAAATCAAGTATCCTCTCAGAAATGTTAAACTGATGGTTCCCTTTCTCAGTAGAGATTATAATAAAACCTCAAATTTTCTCCAAGTAGTTTCTATAACAAAACAAACGTGAAAGTCCTGGTTACTGTCACGGTCATTTCAATACCACTACGAGGCATATAGAGAAAACACGAAGGGTGAGGATAAAGTCTAGGCAGCAAGTGTGTGGAAACAATGACTCAAGGACTACACTTCGCGTAAGCGAAGACTGTGCGTTGGTCCCAGCCACCCAGACCCAAATAATCACACAGAAACTATATTAATTACAATACTGTTTGGCCGATGTCTCAGGCATATTTCTAGCTAGCTCTTATACGTTAAATTAACCCATTTCTATCAATCTATGTATCACCACAAGGCTGTGGCCTACCAGGAGGCATCTTTCTCTTTTGGTAGCTACATGGCATCTCCCTGACTCTGCCTACTCTCCATATACATACATACATACATACATATATATGTTCAGATTTCCCACCTGGCTTTACTCTGCTAAGCCATTGGCTGAAACAACTTTATTCATCAATCAATAAAAGTAACACATATACAGAAGGGCATTCCACATCACACAAACACCAAGAAAAACAAAACAGATGAACAAAACCCAAAATGAGGACTGAAAACAGACAGGCAACTTGTAACAGCAGTACGTAGGTGGGTTGATGAGCCATCCAAGCTCACTTCTTAAGTACCACTGTGGTTCCTGTGTCAGAGTGTCAAGCAATTACAGTGCTGCAGTTGTCATGGTAGCAGGAAAGAGTGAACCACGGAACCCAAGACGGACTCACTGTTTGCTCTCTCTAGCTCTCCACCCCAACTCTTCCTAAACGGGGACCACGAGAGCCTCGGACCCCAAGACCGACTCACTGCTTGCTCTCTCTAGCTCTCCACCCAACTCTGCCCACCTGCGGGACACAGCATTTCAGCGGCACTAGGAAGTCTCTCTCTTTTTTTTTTTTAAATATTTTATTTATTTATTATGTGTACAATATTCTGTCTGTGTGTCTGCCGGCAGGCCAGAAGAGGGCATCAGATCGCATTTCAGATGGTTGTGAGCCACNATTTATTATGTGTACAATATTCTGTCTGTGTGTCTGCCGGCAGGCCAGAAGAGGGCATCAGATCGCATTTCAGATGGTTGTGAGCCACCACGTGGTTGCTGGGAATTGAACTCAGGACCTTTAGAAGAGCAGGCAATGCTCTTAACCACTGAGCCATCTCTCCAGCCCCCACTAGGAAGTCTCTTAAACCTGCAGCACTGTAATTGCTTGGATCAGAACTACCCCAGTCGGCTCATGTATGTCAACAACTGTTTTACAGTTGGGAGGGTTATGGAAGATTCTGCCTTGGTTCTCAGTACAATGCCACTAAACACTTTAGTACAAATGAACATATAGCTAGAAAGTATAATCTATTTATGTTCAAACCACTAATAAAATAATAAAACCAAAATAAGCATATAATCAGCCACAAAATCAATGAGGTCTAAATTACTCGATTGAAGATGACAATGGTACTGTTCTGCTTAGACAGCTCTTTATCTTGGTGAGTAAAACCCTAACGGGATATGTATAACTATCCCGAACCCAGCATTCCTGGGTGGATACTAGTGAGGACTGAATTCTCTCATCAATTTTCTTTCTTCAAGTTATTCAAATCTCTGTGCTTTTCCCCTGTAACCACTGATAATGTACATATTCAATCTTTCCTACTATCATGACAACTGCAGTTGACTTAAGACAGTTCAGTGAGACCATACTAGCCGAGTGAAGAGCTGACCGCTGACAGAGTGGCTAGCAGATAGCAAACCAGACGATCAGAATAATTACACCATGACTTCTGTAGATCAAAATGAAGGAACGTATAGATTTCGATGTCTAGCCCCCTCTCATTAATGACTAAAGACTTGAAATTCTTTAACAGATGGCAACTTACTTTATAATTGAAAGCTAAAGTAATTTATTAAGTCTACCAAATCATAAATTAATACCACTATGGGAAAAGACTGAACTTTAATCATAACAACATATTGGGGAGGGAACATATGATCTATTGAGGGAAACCCACTCTGTATATTACTTACCAATTCTTGCAACCTAAGAAAGCCAGGCAAAAGATTTGCTTCCATGTCTCTTAGATATTCAGCTTTATCCAGAACCTTAAAGAGTTTACATGAAAATCAATTCATAATGTATTTTATATAGAATAACATACTGTAAGATTTTTAAACTTTCCATGTTACAAAGAAAAAAATGTAGCGTTTTAAAGTAAGCTTAAATTTACTTTCAAAAGGCTATTTATACATTAAAAACATATTTCAAAGAGATTAAGCTAAAAACAGATTGCTAATAAAATTTTTTAATCCAGATATCCAAAGAGAAAACACGTCATTGCTCTATTTCTAACTATACTACCCACAAACAGAGTGAAGTTCTGACTCTATCTCCCCACTCATAAAAATTATAAGTCTTTATTGCCCAAGAAAGACAGAAGTATATTCTAAAGTTTATCACACAGAACTTGTCTTGATTGAACTTTACAGCTACGCACACAATGTTTAAACTGCTAGATAACTCTAAGATTAAGTTTTGTTCAAAGTTATAATGCTTTTGCCATAATGTTTCCTAAAACATACAGACACTAGATATATACAGTGGACATTTATGAATAGCATCATATAAAATAGAACAGCAGAATGGTGATGAGTGTGGTCATGTTAGTAACCATTAAAACTGACCAATGAAGTCATATGAGTACTCCTTAAAAAAAAAACAGTCACATTATCATATACTTTAAAATTTGGCATTATTTTTAATATCATTAAATAGCCAATACTCAAATTTTTCCATACTTGTCCCCCCAAAACTGCCTCATTAGTAGTATGGATGGGTCAATATTCATGAATGCATGCGTTCATACAGGACAAAAGGAAAAATACTTGATTTCCCCCAATTACCAATTTCTTATTCTGAGTTTTTGCCCATTTTTCTTTTTTGTAATATTACTACAGACCTAATGGCTTAAAACAGATTTAAAATTTATTTTCTCACAGTTCTTGGAAGCTAAAAACTTAGACAGTTTCACCAAGCCAAATTAAGGTATTAGCAGCACTATGGTAACTCCAGTGGCTCCTGGAGAAAACCCAGCTCCTGCCTTTTCCATCTTCTGGTAGCCTCGATCACTGTGGTACTGGAATAATGCGGCTTGTTACCCACATCATTGCAGTCCTACAGGCAAATATCCTCAACCTTCTGGTTTCCTGCAGCTTTTACAGTCTGGTCTTGTCCACCTGTGTAGCACACTTAGGTATCTTTATCTACTGACATTTAGGATTAGAGTCTGTTTCCTCCCAGATAGTCTGGGTGGATCTCTCCACCTTAAGAGCCTTTTTCCAAATGAAGTAGGATTTCCAGGGCTCAGGGTCAGGACTTGGTGTCTTCTTGGGGCTATTACTTGAGTACTGCAGTGCAGTGCATAATAAATCACATCTCCAGATAATCAATAAATTGGAGCTTTGTGATATTTTTTAACTATTTATCTAATATGTTCCTAACTTCATGTCTTTTTTCTTCTTGTTTGTTAACTAACCCACTGAGTGCAGTTAGGGTTGCCTGTCTGTGTATGACCATGAGGGAATCCACTGGAGCATGGGCAATCTCACAGGGCCACACCCTGCAGAAAGCCAACTCTTCCTTCCTTAGCGGTCACCAACTGCCAACAGCTCGCAATGAGGGATAGCGACCTCATGAGCTCCTCCTCAAACAAGAAATGCTGGCTGGCTTGATCTTTGCAGACAGCCACAGCTGATCCTAGTTCATGGCTTCATAACCCTGGTTTGCCCAATCTCTGTCCTCTCTTCCCTTGTTCCCTGAGGCTTGCCTGGAGGTATACTGATACAGATGTTGTATTTAGGGCTGAGATTCCATAGTCACTTATTCTCTGTACTTCTGACCAACTCTAAGTGCCTGTATTCATAGTCATCTACTGGGGAAAAAAGAAGCTTCTCTAGCGAGCTCTTAGCTGTGCTAATCTACGGGTAGGAAGACATGAATTTATTTAGAAAGCAGTTTGATACTACGTCCATTCATCAAAGGAACAACACCAGGTTCTCGCTTTGGGCCTTTGACTTCTCAGGCCACAGGTTCTGACCAAGCTTACAGCAGTTTCTTCCTAAGGAACAGGCCTTAAGTCTAACCAGAAAGTGACTGGATCCCCCCAAGACATTACTATTGCACCGATGGCCATATCCTGCCAGGCTACTTGTTACTGGAGCTCACAGGGTTCACAGCGAGGTAAGACAGTTGACGACTTTTCTCCCCCAGCAGCCTGCGAGCACATGACACTGTGAGAACCAGGCAGAGGGGAAGCTCCCAGGTCAGTACAGCTTGACTTAACTCCTCCTTACAGAGGAGAAGCTCCCAGGTCAGTACAGCTTGACTTAACTCCTCCTTAAAGAGGAGAAGCTCCCAGGTCAGTACAGCTTGACTTAACTCCTCCTTAAAGAGTCAAATTGTCTTATATCTGGGCAGTAGGAGCCTCTTCAAATTGGCTCCCACATTTTCCAGAACAAACCCAGTAGTCAGTGAGAGTCTCCCAACTTTAAAATGTGACAAGATGTTCTGTGTTATCTAGTGCATTACCTGTGGGAACTAAAGTCCTCTTCCCCCCCAAAAAGAACCCATTTTAATACCATAAACATTCATACTTTAATAATAAATCTTCTTGCAAATTATATAATCATTTAAATAAGGAATAAAATTAAGATGCAGGATAGTTTCCCTGAATAATCTAAATATTTTATCTTGCAACAATATATGAGAATAATTATATTTAAATATTCAATTCTTAGTTTTAGCAAACTAAAGGTACAATTTACTACAATAAAGATATAAAGTAGTTTTTCAATGATACATTCTCATTAGGAAATTTCTCAACAATCTCCATTTAAATAACTCTCTAAGCTAGAACATTAACTCAAAAGAATTGGTCCACTTTAGTGAAAAAATACAAAGCAGAAATAGCAAATTGAGAGTCTATTCTTTTAATATGATAATGATTAACTGTTATAACTCATGACTTCATTATTCTAATTTATGATCCTTCTTCAAAAGCTATTACCAGATAACTACAATTCAAACGAAAAAATGAGATGTAAATATTATTCTTAATGATTTATAGTAAGGTATTCTAGTAGCAGAAAAATTTTAATAAACAGAAAAATTCTTAACCAACTTTCTATATTATTTTCTAAGTAGTAAAGCTTACAGATTTTTAGCTACAGACCAGTCTAAACTTGTTCTACACCAAATATCTGTATACTTTTCTACCCTAATGTTTAGCCAATAACAAATGCTTCTTGGGTACTCACCTCAGAGTATGGGCTAGTGCGCGCGCGCTCTCTCTCTCTCTCTCTCTCTCTCTCTCTCTCTCTCTCTCTCTCTCTCCTAATCTCACTAAGCCTACAAATTCTGTGTTTGCCAAAGGCAGCCACGTATTCTCGAACCAATCCTTCTCATCTTCTATCAGTTACATCATGTAACCACCCTTCCCTGAGACAACTTCTATACACTATATTTAGATATTTCAACTTCTACAGAGATGGCCCTCTGTGGATATGAATTCTGTTAAGAAAAGGCCCCTTTGGGCAGTAGTTCCAACACATGTTTGTATCACTAAAGCACCTTCCACGGAGCTCTATACAAAATAAGACTCAAAATAAATATATGGAAGTGGATCTATGGCACAATCAGTTTTCAAATGAAAGATGATATAATCATGTTAAATTACTTACAATATATACAGTCTGATCCTTGAGATTTTCAGTACTGGTCACTTGCTTAAACAATCGAACAAAGTCATTAAATGTTTCACAGGTGATTTCTGTAGGGCAGTCTGCCTCTGAAGAACTGAGATGACTCAACTTGTTTAGAATTTGTTCCAAAAGTAGCTTCAAAGTAAAGCACTCAACACAATTCACAAAGGCATGCGGGAGCTGAAAACCAAAACCGAAACAGAGTAAACAAAAGCATATAGTTTCTGCTGATCGTCCCTGGTCACCCCCATCCCTCTGCACCCTGGGCTCTCCACCACCCTGGGCCCCAGGATCCTCCTGGCCAGTATAAATGACATCATCATGCTGGGGCTGGAAAAGCCAACAGGAAGAGGCAGCTAGGGACTGAAGCAGAGCTGCTGAGGAAAGAAGTTCAGCATCTCTTCCCTCGACACTGCATGCTGGCAGGGTCTGCATTCTGCTACCAAAGGCCCAAGCTACGGTATGGCTACTGCACTTGTTGGGTTCTGGCAACAGTGCTCTCTAAGGTCCCTCGAGGTCTTGGGGTGATAAAGGCCATGATGAATAACTGTTCCTTAAAACATCCTTACACTCACTTCTGTGATTTGAGTTTCTCATCTGTCTTCCTCTAAGACCCAAAGTAAACTTGTATTTTCCTCTTTAAGTATGAGTACAAAGAATCCTAATTTTGAAAGTGAAAATTCCTAGTGGGAATTTTCCTTACCGAAGAATTTGCTTCCTAGCGGGTTATATTTATTTACTAGAAAGGTACCATCAATATTTCCTTAGGTAAACTACTCATAATATCTTGCTTACTTTCATGCTATTTATTCTTGACTCAAATAACAGAATTTTTTTCTAAGCACATGTTTTGGTATCTATAACAGAAGCAGTAATAATCATATCTAACATTGATTAAATTATTGCAAAAGTAACAAAATTCATTACTTAAGCATAAAACTTCCTTACATGCTTTTATTCAACATGTATTCTCTGAATACGTCATACACAAGCTTTCAAAAACAAACTGGTGACCAAACACTTGAATGTTCAGATTCTGAAGTCAGATATGAAATGTAACATCTTTGTGTTTAAAATGCCAGTTAATCTTTGGGATCAAAGAGTAGTATCTACAACTTAAAATGTGCCAAGCACTGTGCTTGTGGGGATGATACGTGTGTGTGTGTGTGTGTGTGTGTGTGTGTGTGTATGTATCTATATGTACGTACATGTATTTTTTTAAAAAAATCACATCCAGGAAACACAATACAAAAAAGAAATTACAGCTGAGAAGACTAAATATTGTGATAGATACAGGGGCATATTTTAAAAGCACTGGAAGTCAGGAAGCGCTTCCCAGAGAAGTAGAAAAAAACACAGCTAAATAAATAATCATTTGTCAATCAACAGGATATCAGAAGGAGAGCGAGTGAGTAGAGGATGGTCATTCCAAGACGCAGGAGCAACGCAGGCCAAAGCTGAAACAGAGCAGGAACCTATGTATTTCAGGAGGCCATCTCAAACACGCGTCCTCGGAGCTGAGGTGAGACCAAAGCCTGTGGCCTGCACATCTGTTTCTCTGTTCTCAGTTGCTCAAGATCACAGCCATGCCCATTCCAATAGATACTGCTTACTGCCAGCTTAGGATATGAACAGTTGTGTGATAATATTCATAAACAGCATCTAAGCGTTACTAGCTGCTTATGATACTATATGGGAATGCGCTCTTCATGGGTGAACATTTACTTATCCCCAAGGTTGTCTACTTGCCCCAGTTTGCAGCCAGGGAAGCCACTGTGCAGAAATCCTAGGAACAACAAAGGGAAGTGGAACTGAGAGTGGCCAAGAGTAAACACAGACGAAGGCCTGTCTCCACAAGGGAATGTGCTTATCCGACTGTTTAAGGATATGAAGGAGTTTTTGTTTTTAAATCCAGTATCAATGGTGAAGGTCATGCAGACAGGAAATAGAAAAGGGGCAGGTTGAGGGTATGTGCGGCTTTACACATGCGAAAATCAGAGTCAATACTATGAGTAAAGAGTAAACAAAAGACATGTTAAAAAGTAAATTTTAACATTTTTAAAAGCTATTACTTGTTTATCCAACTACTAACTACTAGGCACCAAAGAGAGAAAAATTTAGCCCAACTTAGAACTTTTTACTGTCAGGATTTATGTTAGTAACTAATAGCTTTTGAGGCTTATACTCATCCAAAGTATCCCAACAAGATTTGGGTAGAAATGCTTTCTATAGCTGATGATACTCTAGAGAAGGAACATCAGAGTATGTCATCTGGTCCATCCCCTCTCCAGCAGCGCAGGAATGAAGGCTCAGGGGCAGCCTTACCTCTAAGGCCTTCAACAAAGTTTGTGTCACATAGGTCTTCCCGCTGGCAGTATGTCCGTAAATAAAGATGGATGGAAAGCTGAAATGATGTCTCTAGGAAAGAAAGGCCCAGGTTATGTCTGCATGAACCCAGAAATGAGCATTTACCCACGGGTAAGAAAGGTCTATTGGTACAGTATAATACTAAACCCGAGTTATTTCAATGATGCATACAGGTAAAGTCTTAGTATTCTCAACTTAAATTCAACTCAAAGCACTTTCCCTTAGGAAATTATCTTGAAAAATTATATGTGGCCATTATTAGCCATGTATCATTAACCGTAATTTTACTATTACAAGGGTTTGCACATACAAACCCTTGTATTCTCAACTTTCTAAGAGTTTTTTTTTTCATGGGCAATTTCACCTATACTATATTTTTAATATTTTTCAAAGAATCTAATGTCCTTGTAGGCTACAATTTCATTATACATTTTATTGTTTAAAACTAAAACAATGAAACACGAGACATTTTTGAAGTCTTATTCCTAGGAAATCTTAAATACTTCTGATTATGCATAATCATTTATCTTGGCCTAAGTGTATATATTTCCTCAAATCAAACATTGATGAAATCTACATAGCAATATCAGATACAGGGGCATAGTTTAGTAGTATATCACTTGCTTAGAGTGTGTAAGGTCCTAGATTTGATCCCTAGCACCACGAAAAAGTTAAATCAAAATGCATATGCAGAGATGGCTTTGTCAGAAGCAAACTGTCAAAGGTATTACTGGTCTATCCAATAATATCAATATTTATGAGATAGCCATTAATTGCTGATAACAATAAGAAACTGACCAGTACAGACATCAGTTAAAGACAGGTGAGACTCTGAAGGGTTAAAATATACTGGGGAGACCTAAATTTTAGAAATTATTTCAGCTACCATTTCATAAGCAGAAAGGAAGCTTATGGTCACCTTCGACAGTTTTTTTTTTTTTAAAGCTAGAAATCTGCTTTATGCTTCCACACTTGTTTACATCTACTACTTGGTGCCTAATACAATATTCCCCGCCCTACCGGGTTTCTATCACTGTCATAGCATGACTATAAGCACTTGGGGAGGAAAGGGTTTATTTCAGCTTCAGTTATAGTTCATCATGAAGAGAAGTCAGGACAGAACTCAAGGCAGGGACCCGGGATGAGGAACGGATGCAGAGGCCGTGGAGGAAGGCTGCTTACTGGATTGCTCCCCATAGCTTGCTCAGTTTCATTTCTTTACAGCTCAGACCACCTTCCCCACAATCAATCACTAATCAAGAAAATGCCCTGCAGACTTGCCTACAGACCATCTGTTGCAGGCATTTTCTCAATTGAGGTTCTCTCTTCCCAAATGACAACAGTAACCAGCACAGTCCTCCTTAATAACAATGTTTATATTGTTATGTAGAGTTAAAAAGAACCCTTCCACGGTTACTTTTCACCTTCACAAACCTCCCCAACATTGGTAACAAGCCAGAATCTGGCACAGTGCCTTCCGCTTCATCCACAATGAAGGTGCTCAGAAAATATACACTTGCTAAACAAACAACCATCATCTAAGAATCATGGGCTAGTTGTTTGTTGTTATTTTGGGACTGTTGTTGTTGTTGTTTGGTATTTATTTGCTACAGTAACTCTTTGTATTTTCCTAATGCAAACTTCCTTGAAGAAAAACACTGCCTTTTTTAAACATAATTTGCTAAAAGTATTCCTCTTTCTGAGTACTTTTGGTTGGAGTAACCTGGGTGTATCAAGTCTAGTGAAGGAATGTAAAGGGCACACCAAGTATGTATTTCAACAATATGGGTTGAAATCGAATGCACTAAAACTAGAAAAGTCGATGCAGCTGATCTCTAGCTTAACTGATGTGAACCTTTTAGATGGCGGTACTTTTATAGGTCACTTTAGCCTCCATCCAACACTCAGCTGGATGAAAGTACATTTTAAAAAACAAACTAAATGGATATTTGCATTAACTCACATTCCAGATAAGATCTGTAGTGGCATTCCAACTGTATTTTAATAAAGCTTGCCTGGGGATTGCGAAAGTAAAACAGCCACACTGGTCAGCCTTATAGCTAGGCAGTAGTAACACACACCTTTAATCCCAGTAGCCACACTAGTTTCCACAGAAAACGGGGCGGTGCAAGCCATTAATCCCAGAGGCGCACACCTTTAATACCAGCCCTAGAGAGGATTATAAAACAGGAGGAGACAGCTCTCACACACAGTCTCATTCTGAGATTCCTGGAGGCAGGATTGCCATTTAGGACTGAGGTCGAGGTAAGAGCCAGTGGCTGGCTGCTGTGGTTTTTGGATCTTCAGGTTGAACCCCAATTTCTCTCTCTGAGTTTTTATTAATCGTAATTCAAAGATCCAAGTGAAATTAATTCTAACTAATGAGAACAATGCAAAAGGCACACGAGAAATGAACGGTACCCCTGTCTATGAAAAGCAATCTCTAATTGCTCTCCCATCTAAAGCATCTCATCTGCTAGTCAGGAAGAGAGAAATTCAGATGAGACCGCTCCTGGATTTTATAATTCTGAAAAAGCTGCAGGACTTTAAAGGCTAAAATACAGCATTATTCTAAGTGGTCTTGAAGCCAACCACCTCTCTGTATTTGACTTAATCTATACCTCACTGCAAGGGGGTGAATTTGCACTTTATAAACACTCTGCAAACAGACTTCTTCCATAAAGCTTGTGCAGTAGCAACCTGCAAAAGGCTCACATAATCGGCAAAGCACGGCCCCATTGAAAGGACCTCTTAGGCAAGGTCCCGGGGAGCAGCCAGCCCTTCCTCTGCAGTCTCTGAAACGGACTGAGAAGTTTCTCTGGGTAAGAGATGATGGTCTGGCGTCTCGCCATCCACACACTACCCCGCAACGGACCCAGGACGCGCTGGACTCTGGAATTGGGAAACGGTCTGACCACAATACCTCTCCAAACAGGGACTGCAGGGTGGACACCTGAGCCTCTCGACAGAGCACCAGGCTCTCCAAGTGGGACATTCTGGCGGGCACCACCCGAAACCGCAGAGTGGGTAGCCGCCAGTCAGCACCGGAGTCTATTCGGGCCGATTTCACGATGCTCAACCACCAGCTTCCCTCCCGGAAGCGCGGAGGCTGGGATGCAGCCGGCGCCGGCGCGATGCAGTGACGTCACGAGCCCGCGCAGCGAGGCCGCCGCTCTAGCCTCCCGTGCGGCGGTTATCGGTGGTCGGCGCCCTGCAAAGGCTCGGCGCCCTGCGAGTGCTCAGCTGTGCAGCCTTTTGCTCATCACCCTAATCCTCGGAGGACGGGGTGAACGGCGGTGGTCTCTCACGACACGGCTCGGGTGGTTTCGGTAAAAAGTACCCAGAGGCTTCCCTCTGGTGGAAACTGGATGACATTCGGCGCGAAATGGGGAGCTTTGTGGGATTTAATAATTTTAATTTTTCGTTTGTTTTTGCAAGCTTGGAACGAGATGTAGAAGTATAAGAGTGTTGGTTACAGCAATAGGAGTCAACATAACGCTGTCTTCAGCACACGCCTTCTTTACATTTGTATTTATCTGTAGGACACCTAGAAGCAAGGTATTAGAAGAGCCTTGAAATTAAAGGAAAGGATGTATAGAAATAGGAAAATTTGTCGTAAAAGACAGGGCTTTGGGGTCCTGAAAAAGATTTGGTCTGGGAGCATTGACTCAATTATGAACGTTGAGGCGTTAGGAGATCTTTGAACTTTCATTTAAACTTCCTTGTATACAAAATAAGGACAACGGTAGACTGTTTCTAAGAATAAAAGATACCGTTCACAGTGGTGTCTGGTACATATAGACGTTATAGCCAGTGCAAAAAGATAACAAAAAAAAAGTGCACCCAGATTAGAAAGAGGCCCACTATGTATTACTGAACAGTACAGCTGCCTATGGAGGAAGTAATCTAGTTGCTTCTTCAAAAGAGACGCTACCCTAGCTCTTAACAATTCAACTTGCAAGGCCTCCGGTGTGAGACAACTGTCCTCACATAGTGGCAACGAAGAACTATGAAATACTTAGAAATGAAGTGGACCAAATAAAATGGACATATAGTAAGGCCTGCACACACACAAAAATACTAAAAGACAATAAAGAAGACATATCTAAAAACAACTGTACTGCATGTAAGAATGATGTTTGTTAAAATTAACCTGGTTTTCCCAAAATGATAATGTAGACTCAATAAATAAAAAAAAATAGAGGTTTTGTTTTTTGGTGTTTAGGGGTGGGTTATTTATTTTATTTTTTTTTCTGTTGCTTGACTGAAAATGTCCTCCACAGACTCAGGGAGTGGCACTATTAGGAGGTGTGCCCTGTGGGAGGAAGTGTGTCACTACAAGTAGGCTTTTAGGTTTTATTGTTCCTAGGAATAGCTGGCTTCCTGCATTCCTGGATCCCCTCTTTTTCTCTCCTCGCCCACCTCTTATACAAGGCAGTTCTCAGCTTTCTGCATGAGCCCCTTCTCCATCCCATTACTAAACCCTTCCAGAGACTCCAGCAAGCCCTCAGACCCCAGTTCTTCTCCTTCTATGTAACAGAGAAGGAGGGATATGCCCTTGGGGTCCTAGGACATAAGCTGGGACCTTTCTTTGCACTTGTAGCGTACCTGTCAAAGAAGCTGGACCTCACCACTCAGGGCTGGGCACCGTGCATACGTGCTTTAGTGGGCACTGAGCTTCTTATTCATGAGCCAAAGAAATTAACCTTTGGGTCACCCACCACTGTCTTCTCCCACCACAATCTGTCCCATCTCTTAACTTACAAAGGCTACACACCTCACCCCCTTCCTGAGTTCTTTCCCTCCAGGTGGCATTAGTAGAAGATGCCACACTCCCTTTCCAATGCTGCCCACCCCTGAATATCTCAAATCTTCTACCTCAACCTAACATTAATTATTCTCCATTTCACTCCTGCATTGAGATCCTAGAGGACCTGCTACCCCACCCCTCACATATACAGGAGGGCAAACTGTCCCAGGCCACTTATACCTGGTACACAGATGGCAGCTCCTTTTTATGTGAAGGGACCTGTAGAGCATACCTACAGGCCATAGCCATATTGTCAGATACTGGGGTGGTGGAGGCACAGGCACTCCCTGCCCATACCACTAATCAGCAGGTTGAGTTAATAGCCCTTACCCATGCCTTCCAGTTAGCAAAGGAACAATCTTTAAATGTTTACACAGACTCCAAATATGCCTTTCATATACTCCTGTACCACACAGCTATCTGGAAGGAATGTGGGCTTCTTACAATGAAAGGAGGATCTATAACTAACTCAGGCTACATTATGGACCTGTTAAAAGCCTCCCATCTCCCCAGAGCTATAGGAATTATTCACTGTTGGTCTCATCAGACGGACAGTTCCATTATGCCCAAGGGAAATAACCAGGCTGACCAAGTAGCTAGAACAGCAGCATTCCAGAGCCCAAACCTACCTCAGTCACCTCAGGGGTTCATACAATACAGCCCACATTCTCGCAGATACCTACTGACACCCAGTGAATTCTGTCCTACCTGCATCAGCTCTCTCTCATCCTAATAGCAAAGCTCTGTTTCATTTTGTCAAGGCTCACCTTCAACCCACCCCTGAGGGACTTAGAGTTCTAAAAAGCTATCACTGCCTCTTGTAAAAACTGTCAAAAGTCAGATCCCAAGACCAAATATCATAGCTTCCCCCCCACACACACCAGGCCAGGGGCTCCATTACAGGAACTGACTGGCAGCTTGATTTTACTCATATGCCCACAGTCAGATGAGTTAATTATATCCTGGTTTAGGTGGACACCATGTTTGGGTAGATTAAAACGCTTCCCACCACTAACAAGAGGGTGCAGGCAAGGCAGTTTCCAATGTTCTTCTCTGAGAAATTCTCCCCCAGTTTGGAATCCCAACCTCTCTTCAGTCAGATAATGGCCCAGAGTTTAACTCCCAGATCTCTCAAACTTTGTCTAAGGATCTTAACATTCATTTTCATATCCCATACCATCCTTAGTCTTCAGGGAAGGTAGAATGAACTAACCATTCTTTAAAAAAAATGTTCTTGTTAAGATGTCACAGGAGCTTCACCTTGACTGGATAAAACTTTTGCCTCTGGCCCTTCTTAGGCTTAGGGCTCTCCCCCAAGTCCCCCTTTTTTATCTCACCCTTTGAGCTCATACTTGGGCAGCCAGTTTTAACCCCCAGCCTCTCACCTAAAACCTTCTGATCACCTCTTTGCTCCGCTGTTAGCCCATCTTCGCTCCTTATTACAGGATTTTACCAACCACTCCTTACCCCAACCATGTGCTGATTCATGCCCACCACCGATTAAAATAGGAGATCAGGTGCTGTTTTCTCCCCCAGACCAATGCTCCTCACCCCTTTCCCCTAAATGGCAGGGCCCCTTTAAATCAATTCTTGTAACTCCCACAGCTGCCAAGCTTGAAGGACTCTCATTGGATCCACCTGTCTCGCCTGAAACCTTTTACTCTTCCAGCTCAAGATACCCCCTCGTATACGGTAACTCAAACAGAGCCCTGTTCCCTTAAGTTTCAAGATCAGCCATTTTTTCTCCAGTTACAGAAAAATAAAAGTTTCATCACCGTACTCAAGCCTCCTGTGCCAAAACCTCCATACACTCTTCCTTCTATCTGCTTTACCAACTTCTCTCTATCTCCAATGTCATACTTAAATATGTTATCACAGGGACCATCATCAAACACAGAGCTGGAGGTACAAAGATTGCCAAAAGCCCAGGTGGTAAGAAACAATAACAAGTTTGGGGACATTCACAGCCCCAGACTCCAAAAACTCACAAAACAGATGTTAACACAACAGGTTCATCACTGACTGCAGCAGTGTCTCCTGGATGTTGAGCTAATACCGTGATGCTAAGGAGAACAAGTGCCTTAAGATCTGCTTCAGGTAAAACACTGAGGGGTCTAATATTTCTCCCTTCTTTTCCTCTCTCCTCCCCCCTGTCTTCTCTTCCAACACTATACCATCATAATTATAAGCTTTTAATATGTCTAAAATTTATTTCTTTTCAAATATTTTTTATAAGCTCCAGGGAGCCGATTGGACCTATCTACATGAACTAGACTCGCCCAGAATAAGTATCATTTAATTTTTCCCTTATCATTTCTAGTCTTGGGAACCCCAGGAAATTCCCTCCTCCACCCCTCAAAAAAAAAAAAAAACCAAAAAACCCTCTATCTTCCATTTTTTTAGGACTCTCCTCCCTTAATCACCAGGATCTAAAATGTTTTCCAGACATAATTTTCTGCCTTTTCAGCGTCTTGCGAGGTCCAAGCTGCCAGCCAGGCAGTTTCACGGACCCCATAAAAAAAAAAAAAACACACACAAAATAATCAACCACCCCAGGATGTGATCAAGCATCTCAACTCTGCGATGCCCACAGAATCAGCAAAAAGCAGTCTTGAGAGACCTGATGACGCCCATAAAATCTGCAGGAAGCAGTCATGAGAGACCTTACAGCACCCTATTCCCACCCATTAAAGACCCCCTAAACGCCCCAAATCTTTAAGATAAACAAAAGTGTGGAATGTTATGTTTCAGTCACAACATGGCTGACACTTCTGAGTTCCAGGGCTACACGTGTGCAGACAAGCCCTCAGGCGTGACCCACAAGCAGCGTGGTTGCATCACTTACGTAAGACGCAGCTGTGTGAGCCCTTGCGTGCATGCGTGAGCTCCGTCATCTGTGTATAACGTAACGACGTCATCCCCTTGTGCACATGCACTGGGCAGGCCTTAAAAGCTGGACATGCTATCTTTAGCCCCGCCCCTGCTCACCGACATCACCAGGCCTGTACACACACACACACACACACACACACACACACACACACACACACACACACCCATGAACTCCTAAGCGGGTTTGTTGCGTGTTCCATGTTTTCTTCTCACTCACACCAGGTAATTTCAATTCTTTCGTCGAATAGCACTGTTTTTCCATCAGTTTTGTCAAATTTACTGGTGAAACTAACAAAAGCCTTCACTATTTGCTATTGTGTATGCACACGTTAATCGTCTTACTATAACCACACACCTGGCAGGAAGCGCCTTTAAAACATGCTTGTTTTGGCTTGTGGTTGCGGGCGCATTCCAAAATGGGGGTGAC